TTATGGTATAAGGACTAAATATGGTAAGTTCAAAGATAATCCATTCAGCATTCTAGGCTGGGGGCAAAAAAAAAACCCAACAAGAATTTGGTATAGCTCTACCCCTGGGGGCTGGACATGGACTTATTTAAATAGGTGAAACCCTATGATGGATCATGCTGAATTGGATCCAAATCTGTTAAAGATGGGGAGTTGGATGGCCGAATGGTTAGCACGCGCGTGCTGTATCATAAGGCCTGTCATTGAGTCAACTGGCGTGGTTTCGAATCCCGGTTGTACGTGACAAGGAGTAGGGTCGCCTGTCCAGCCTCGTAGGTTTTCTCCAGGTCCTTCGGTTTCCTTCCGCTGCTAAAGACCCCTACGCGCAAGCGAATTATTGAAATAAAATTAAAAACCATATGTTACTCCCGAGATGACCTAGTTTGTGTCGAGTGGACTTTAAACCTCTCTCTCTCTCTCTCTCTCTCTGTGTGTTAAAGATGCGTTATGTAAGATTTAGGTAAAGAGCTGACCGTTCTTGCTATATAATAGCGAAGATATTGGCCTTTGAAGGCTTGACAAGATGTGTGCACCGTTTGTAACCACTGGTTGTTCGAAGCTTATCCTCGCTTTATCATTTTTTAGATTAAATCATTAAATAGCCTAAATATTATAATCTGCTTAAAATCGGACCTATCTGATAACATCGAGACTTGATTGCGGTCTTGTCATGTTAATAAATGTCTAATTAATAGTTTATATAACATTTCAGGCATAAAAACAGACCTGCGATAGGCAGATTTAGCTTTTGCATAATGTGTGTTTAATAAATGCATTGTGTAGATTATTTACAGACAAAATATTAACAAAATAGGTGTGGCACCGTCCAAGGGGGTCGGATCATGCCCCAGAATCAGAAGATGCCGTCCGTTCTTAGGGTATAAGGAATAAGTATACACAAGTTTCATGATAATCCATTCAGAATTGTGACCTTCGGGCGCTAAACACAAACAAAAATTGGGCGTTTTTCTGCCCCTGGTGCGGGGTATGCACCAAAACCAATAGTTGCCGCCATTAAACTCTAAGGAATACATATGCCAAGTTTAAAGATGATCCACTAACAATACAAAAAAGGGCGTGGCTTTGTCCCTGGGGGTCGGGCATGCACCCAAAACAACAGGGGTCACCCTTTGGGTAGAGGTAATAAGTATGCAAAGTTTCAAGACGTTCTGCAATCTAAATTTATTATATTTAGTGATATGTAGTACTACGAGTCGCAGGCAAGAGGTGGAAAGCACATACCCAAAAACTCCCCACTTCCAACGAGTGACGCATAATCTCTCCCCTGTTACATATTTTAATAGCCTTGTGATCATCTAGTAATGTATCTGGTTGTTTTTGTAATTCTTTACTCTATGGCTAGGACGTCTCTTTAAATGTCACTCTGACAATCCACGTTGTGAATTTGCATCTTGCACCGATTATGGTTACAGCGTTCACAAGGTGCAACAAAGTGAAACAAGGTACACAACTCTAGAAGAAATTATTGACATCAAATAGGATTTTTCATTTCACTTAAGCGGTGGACACACCAGCCGAATGATTCGGCCGAATCAATCGGTGTCGAAATTCGGCTAGTGTGTCCACTGTCATTCGGCCGAATGATTCGCCCGAATCAAACATGTTTGATATATTCGGCCGAATTATATTCGCCTGATGTGTCCGCTTCGCCGAAGCATTCGGCCGAATGAAGAATTCATTAGCCAATCACCACTCATATCGAGAAGTCACGTGATAGTTTGAAGACCATAGACGCCGCCATGTTTAATCATGTGACATGAAAGGTGATGCAATCGACTGGTGAATCGGGCGAAGCATTCGGCTAGTGTGCCCACCCATTCGGCCGAATAAAATTCGGCGCCGATTGATTCGGCCGAATGATTCGGCTGAACGATTCGGCCGAATGATTCGGCTAATGTGTCCACTGCTTAATGTAAAACAATATATATCAGTTCTGTCGCCCGCTTCGCTTTCGTAATGAGTAATGGTATAAGAGCCACGCCGGTTGTGACGGTCCGCCAAGAGTGGTGCCGGTTTTGACGGTCCACCAAGAATGGTGCCGGTTTTGATGATCCGCCAAGAGTGGTAGCGGTTTTGACTGTCCACCAAGAGCGGCGTCGGTGTTGGTGGTTCTACAAGAGTGGTGCCGGTTGGCCTAGTATCTGATAATAGCCCTGACATGTCCCTGGAAGAAGTGTGTGTGTGGGGGGGGGGGTATACAAGGCCCGGAATCTGGACTGGATTAAATCCCAAGGATCTTTCTAGGCCAGTACCGGCATCGAATCAACCCTCCTCCGAATAACAGCATAAGCGCCTTATTCGCCGACACAAAAAGTGTCTGAAACCCTAGGACAGTTGAAGAAGTGAATAAAGTCAGTTTTCGTTTGATTGTCCACAGGGTTTGAAAGGTAGGCCTACGCCTGTAGCAGTTCCTGGATAATCAGGACTATAAACTTGACGCAATGGTGTAGTCACATTTATCAGGTAAATCAGTACAAGTCTCCATATAGGCACAAGTTTATTCCCGTTACGGAATCTAGGTGGGCCTATCTTGAATTGAAATTCCAGACATGGGGAGAACTAATGGGGTATAACGACCTCTCGACATACATCAGGTCATTTCGGAGTTAAATATCGTAGAGCTTTTTTTTAGCGGTGGAAGGAAATTGGTGGACACTATGTGACATACAATGTTTGCAAAACGATCTTACTCCCGTGCAAGCTGGGAATCTAAACCATGCCACATACATGTATAAAGCACTCAGGTTAGATCACCCCATTATTCTGAAACGTCAGAAAAGGTTAGTAGGTTTTTTGAACAGCACAAGTAAATCCACTATAGCCTATCAGCTTGAAATGTTAAGAGCGACTATTGATGATCACACACTAGGACCACGGAAACCACTAGGTGTACGTAAGTGTAGTAGCACTTGAGATTTCTTTTATTATTAACAATAAATAGTCCTTTCTAAACTCGACCTTCAAATAAAATGGGAGGGACTTAAACAAGAAAGAGGCGGGGCTTACATCTGCCTCGCTCAGCATAATCGTAAAACTCGGTCTCGATTAGTACGGTATAACACTTACCATCAGCCGATAAATACCCTTTTGCTACTTTGTGCTGTTAACTCGTAGAAAACCGGAAGCGAGGAATCTCCCATACTCCCCGCAGTGTTTTGTTTGATTAGAGCTAATCCCACTAAACACTGCTTTAATGGAAGCAAATTTCTGTTCCAAATTATGACTGGTCAATAGTCCGATTAACAACCAATAGCTAACACCGTAACTATATGATTACGCTTTAAACAAGGCTCCAAATTGGTCAAATATGTTTGCATAACGTTACGTCATGACTCACGATTTTATGCCCAATTAACCAGTGCAAAGCAGAATATTGCAGAAAAACTAATTGCGTGACAAACAAGGCTATCAACATGGTTACAACGTTAACAATACTGTTTGGAGACGAACAATACTTCACCGTTTTTAACCCTAAAATAACTGTCCAAAGTTTTGGGGAAGACCTCAGATTAAACGGAGGGCTGCAATGTTGCTGTACTTGGGATAGATTTGATTGAACGGGAAGAATAGACATACTCCCCCAAAAGCGCAAGTATCAGAAGCTAATCCAGCAATGGCCAGGGAGGGATTTCTCAGGCCATTGCTTCAGGAATATGGACATCTTCCGACAGGGTACTTATCGGCTTCCATTCTCAACAGCTACCATACCAACTTTGTGCTCAATACAACAAAACAAATAAAATGAAATGAAATGGGGGTTAACGTCGCACTTTTCTTCCCCAACGAACATCCGCCATGCAGTGCCCAGGGAAATTTCGCTTGCAGAGTGGCACTACAGACATAAAACAAACACAGTTTTTTTTTTACTTCATGTACAAAAATCTGTTTATTTTACAAAAACAAAACAAAAACCTCTACATTCATATATTAATTAGTTTCCTACTTTCCCTATAAGTTAAACTGGCTTTCTACTTTCCCCACAAGTTCCCTACAAGTTGTCTACACCCCCCCCCCCCCGAAAAAAACCTTTCAGTGCTGAAAACATCTTCGCATTATTGATCACGTTTATATGCGCTTACGTGCAAATTAGTCCCCCAAACATAACCATTTCATCTGATAAGTTAAGAACGGCGGGAAATTTATATGTAGGGTCTATCCCAATTGATTGTATTTTTGTGTATTTTTTAAAGATTTGTTTTTTATTCAGTGAGGATTTTTTGATCAAACCAGATTAGTTCCACTCCTTGATTTTTAATGCTTGTTGTTGCTTGTTGTTGTTTGTTGCACAAAACATAACTAATATGCCTACATGCGGTGTAGAAAAATGACTTTTACATAGAATTTGTGCTGGAAGAAAGGAAGATGGTCTATTCACTTCAATATTTAAAGGATTCTTCTTGTTTATTTTTTGAGAGTATTTAGATTGTTATAAATCAAGCCGTAAATAATATATTAAGATACAACTAGAATGGTACCATCAACAATACAGGTAGCACGATTAGTAAATTATAAGGCACCTGATTTCTAAATCTAAGTCACACATTTCTTTCTTACATAAATAAAGGCAGTGAATTGAATCAAATCATACTATTTAATAAGGACACAACTCAATAACTCCGCTCGACTGGGAACGCAAATTTTTTAGTAGAAAGTGTGTTTTAGAGTTGTTTAGTAGACCTTTTGCAACAATTACTTCATACACAAAGAATAATTAACATGAACGCAAATAGTTTAAAGTGATAGTCGCAATTAAAGTCACATGTTTAAAATAAAATAGTAATCATTAATAATAATCATTTTCTATAGGCTCAATATTCAGTGAGTCTGACACTATTGGGAGAGAGAGAGAGAGAGAGAGAGAGATGGGCTTTAACGTCCACGCGATACAAACCAGGTCATTTCGGGACTAACATATGGTTCAATTTTATTTCATTAATTCGCTTTCGCGTAGGGGTCTTTAGCAGTGGGAGGAAACTTGAGGACCCGGAGAAAACCCACGAGGTTGGACAGGCGACCCTACTCCTTGCCACATACAACCGGGGAAACCACGCCAGTTGACTCAATGACAGACCTTGTCATCCAATCCCCTGAGTAGAGAAATATATCATTTTCAAGTTGCAACATCCAACATTGAACTTTGCAAACTCCAAAGATCGTATAAAAAAACAAGGGCGGTAATTTAATTAAAGTTTTAAAATGATTCCGATGATTGTATAATAATAATGAATTGATAACCTATATCGAAGGGTATGACGTTCTTAGATAAAATGCAACTATCACTTTAACTGAAACCACAAGTCATACCCTGTATTATTCCACATAAACCAGTTAACTTTAGATTCTTACAATCTACCAGGATATAAACTAAAATCTACCAAAAACACCCACTAGTCTACTGTAACAAACATATACAGTGAAACCCCACTATTCAGGCCAGTTCTTGGATTGATACAAATAGGTCTTAATAGTGAGGTGGTCTTTATACCAAGTTTAAATCCCAGAATACAGACTTTATAAATTCTTTTAAAATACGGACGGTATACAAGAGTGAGACGGTCTTTATATCCAGTTGGAATCCCAGGATATTCTTTTAAAATAGGGCCTGTATACTGGAGTGGCCCGTAACAGTGGGTGGTCGTTTAACAGGGTTTCACTGTACCATATAATAGAATATTATACCTTATAATATAATATTATAGATTTGTTAATATGAACCGAATACCCCTATAATGCTGTATTTTAAGTTTATCAAGCTTGTCCAGCGGTTACTCCAATAAAGCATTTATAGAATAATCCCAAAATAATATTCTGTGGTTAGTTGTAATGTTGATATCTTGCCAGCAAAATATCAACAATTATTAACTAACTTTTACCACAAATGTTAAGATTTTATATATTTAGCTACATATTATTTTAAGACAATTACGGTTAATAAAAACCATTATTAAAAAAAAAAAAACAATATTTAATCAGAAGATTATTGATCTTAAATACAACCGGTGAGAATTTCACAGTACATAAATAAGATGCATTATGTAAGATTTAGACAAATGTTATAATAGTTACAAAATAGATCATGCAGAATGAATATAGTGAAAATTTGATTCAAATTACTTTATTATGGGGGAAGTTACGACTGTTTGAAGATGTAGCGTGGATCATTTATTACCATATAGCAACGGTACTGGACAAACGAGACTGACTGGAGGGTTGATTATGGGTGTAAAGAGAGAAATGGGGTTTAACGTCCACTCGACACAAACTAGGTCATTTTGGGACTAACATAGGGTTTAATTTTTTTATTTCAATAATTCGCTTGCGCGTAGGGGTCTTTAGCAGTGGGAGGAAACCGGAGGACCCGGAGAACACCCACGAGGTTGTACAGGCGACCCTACTCATTGTCACGTACACACCGATGAATCGAAACCCTGCCAGTTGACTCATTGACAGACCGTATGATACAGCGCGCGCGTGCTAACCATTCGTCCATCCAGCCCCCCTGATTATGTCTAAATAATAGTTTATATAACATTTGAAGCCAAAATAAAGACGGACGATAGGCATATATAACTCTTACATAATGCATCTTTAAACGAAAATAAAATTAGACTATACTACCTATAATATAACAAAGTATTCCTAGTTGGGGTATTCATATTATCACACAATACACACTAGAGATAATACTCTTATAAAGATAAATAGAAAATAAATTAATTACAAAAAACAAACATGTTGCTGATTATAATAAGAGTATAAATTACTTATAATTGTTTTGGGTTTTTTAATTTGACAATATTAAAAAGAAGTGGTGTTGTCTGTAGGCAGAATGGAGATGTCAATTTGATAAGGAAAATTTGTCTATCAGGAATTTCAGGAATTTTGGGATAGGGGAGGTTTAGGGCTTGCACCTGGTGTATCTCAAACAGCGCGTGTGAATTTCTGGCCTCTTTCTATCTCGTCTGAAAATAGACTCTTTAATAAACTCATTTTAAGGTTTTCTAATCTGGATTCAAGGGAGGTAATTATAAGACCTGTAAGTTTATTATAAATTGAACGATACACCTGTATTGCATAGGTAAAACTTTTAATATCAAATATTAATGATACATATTTTCTATTAATGGAAGAGTATACAGATTCCCTCTCTAAAACAAGCTATAGATCTCCTGCCATTTCCTGGCCTCTTTTCATAAAATATTCCCATAAAAAAAATCAAAAAAATATTTGAGCAGCCAATGATTAAATGCAAAGACATTAATTGATGGATACATAATTAATGTTACATATATAAATAGAGACGGTATCACTAATCATCACCCTAATTTCATATCAAACAGGCAAATCAAAATATAAACAAATCTAAACAAAAAAACAACATTTTAGTTGAGGTTGTAATTAGTACGAACACACTTAACGAGGTAAATTAATTAATTAATCTGATTATGCATTCTATAATTATTAATTATAATAAATACATTCGGTTGATATGACACAGTGTTCAATATTCATATTATATAAAATATTATACACAGTTTTTCTGATAGTTCCCCATCTCGGGTCCTTTTCAAACTCGGGTTTATGCCTACAATTCAATAAAGCCTAGCTGGTTTCTTACTCTTTTGAAACGTCGCAATGCCAAGAAACAAATAGGTCTTCAAAAATGTTACATGGATCTTTTGGACATGGCTGGAGAGAACGCTATACCAATTGAAAACAAAGACCCAAGGTTTTGTGTCTGTTAAAATTGTAGGCCATGTGAATTTTGAAGTGGTTAATAGAATATAGCTTATTATCAGTGTACACACTTTGCTGTTTATGGCACTTAATAGTTGAAAGCAAAACACCTAAATATGCTTGTCAGTCGTCATCTCGGGGATTTTGATGGGGTTTCAATCTTTTCAAGAAGAAAAAGACAATAAAATAAGTGAAATGTTTTAAAGACTATTGACTCATACATATTTATATGAAAACCGCATTTTATTACCATTCTTTATAAACAATTGTTTTACCTACAAACACTCGAGCACATGGACAGTTGTCAAAATATGACGATTCTTAAGATCATCATAGTCTAGTTGATGTTTCATCACCAGGTACAGAAACATCATCAATAGCTTAAAGGAATCTGGTGATTTTACTTTACGGATATCAGATGCTTAGAAATTGGCCATCCGGTTTCGCAACTGTCAAGCTATACAATGTATTCCCGGTCGACTGATGTTTGTCCATAAATTATGTAGTCAAATCTCATGACTAATAAAAATAATAATCATCTATTTATAGAGCGCTGGAATTTCAGTTTGAAAAACTGCTCAAGAGCGCTTAATAATATAATCAGACGAGCGCACGACTCGTCGCATCCAATCAAAAGCATTTGCTTGTTGTTAGACAAACGTCTTAAAGCAGTCAAGGGTTGAATACATTATACGTCTCTTTTTTTACATCACAAGCTTCCCAGTTATCTGTCATTGACCAAACACCAACTAGATTAGGACGACTTGAATACTACATGGACACATACAAGAGTTATAATGGATGCCGAAGACTGTAAATCAATTCTCAAAGCTTACAAACACTACATTACATATTTCAGAGTCTGACGGTAATTAGCATCACTGTACTAACTCAAACTTATTGGCTGGCCGGATCACCCATAATAAACTTCTGCTATATTTCAGAGCTGGATTACAACGGGTACTGGTGTCACTGCATTAACCCAGAGTTATTGCCTGGTCCAAAACACCCATCATCAAACTCTGCTATATTTCAGAGTTGGATTACAACAGATAATGGTGTCACTGCACTAACCCAAAGTTATCGCCTCCTCCAGAAAACCCATAATCCAACCCCACTATATTCCACAGCAGGCTTCACGCTGGTGTGGATGCCATTGCCCTAACCTGAAGCTATTACCAACTGATGGAGAAAAGCTGTAATCCAGCTCTGCTATTGTAATGATTGTTAGTAAGTATCTATTGATATAAATTATTGTACTTGACATTCCCAGTAGCTTTTTGAATCGGACACAAACATTCACAAGATGGTCAGCGTATCGTTATATACATATATATACATATATACCACTGGTACCCTTGGCAACTAGTTACACACAATATTCATGCTTTAAATTTTAAAGGGAAGGGAATACTAACACAGTTTGAAGCATTTCTATTACTTTTCACATGGGATTTGTGTTCCTGATCCTGCTAATTCTGTCACATTGGATTTTTGTTTCTTGATGGACCTTCCAATTCAATGCTCCAGGACTAACAGTAAACCAATCGCAAATATTCCCCAATCAATTCTGCAACTCTAATTTGGTTATTGATCAATATTGTGAATCATCACCTGACTTAAGGTATGTGAATGGCGCCTTCAGTTTAAAGACAGACCAGCTGAAAGCTTTAGACTAGATCACAAGGGTACCAGTAGCAAGACAGTGAAGCTAACTACAGTTCAAAAGGGGAAGATAACAACATTATTATATTAAGTTATTTTCAAGAGACTGACGATCTGTTTTGAGAACGATTAAGAGAACTGTCTCGGGATGGATTCTGTGACCCTGTATTTTTAAAGGAACTTTCTCGTGAGTTGTCTCTGGACTTCGATCTCCTGCGACTTCTACGGAAAAGTTTCTTTAAACTTCCGCCTAATGAGCGAGATTTCTTTAAGTTGGGGGAGGCGTTTCCTTTGGCTCGGACTAACTCCAAATCATCTGAAAGACAAAAAAAACGATCAATTTTAGAATTTAAAAAAAAGTTATTAAAAATGGTAATATATAGATGGTACGATATATATTTGTCTGCTAAACTTTCTACTAATTGAGACTAATCTAGAGTATGTACTGATATAGTAGTGTAACTCTCAACTGTAAATATTATAAAAATAAGCTTCACGAAATAAGAGGGATCACGTTGGCTAAGTGGGTAAGGCGCTGGCTCCCTAGCCTGGAGGTCGGGTGTTCGATCCCTGCATTGGCCGAGAAAGTTCATCCAGCCAGATTTTCAGACGTGGTTCCCCCTTGTCAGTGATACAGCTGTCTAGTCGTTTGGATGGGATAAAATACTGAGGTCCTGTGTACACATTGGCGTGCACATAAAAGATCCCTTGACAGATGGAAGTCGATATAAGAGTAGGCCGTAGTGCCGCTGTCCAGGCAAAATTTCCCCCATAGCACAGTGTATGGCGTATGCCCGTCTTCATTAGTCAAGTTCGGAGCAGAACAGTAGGATGTTTAATCCCATTTCATTTCCATTTCTAGCTATCGATCTTAATTTACTCAAGAGTGGTACAATCCCTATCCCATCGCCCTAACACACCCACATCAAGTCGAAAATATAGAAAACACTGGTTAAGTGCGTAAATACCGAATACCATATATAATTTCAACCAGTAATGACTAAACCATGCAAGTGTGAAATATCTAATGTATGGGAAACACACAAGGATATTATTCATGATTTTAAATTAGATCATCTATCTGCATTATCATTTCCCCCCCCCCCCCAACCCTTCTTCAAGGAAAGTATCATTCCCCCCAACCAAGGAAAGTTGGTTATTTTCACTACAAGCAAAGTATTATTTAGTATGCTCACACAATTCATGAAACGGAACTTATTACAAGATATTTAAACGGGTCATTTCTTATTACCAATAGGCCGACCTGTTTTTCACTTCTCATAACAGGAACACAGCAATTCAACGCGCCCAATAAGGAGGAAGCTGGTTTCAACTCCGTAAAGATATGTAAGATTTAGATAACTCGCTATATTAGTTTAAAAACTTGAATATATTGAAACTTTCAGACAAATTACTAAAGTCTGAGCGAAGTTATGGCTGAAGTTATGGAGAATAGCTACTGTTGTCTTGATTTTCTGGTTTTTAATTAAATTATTAAACGACTATCTTGTTGCAATCCAATGAATATGAGAGCTGATTTATAATCTTGTCATGTTAATAAATGTCTAATTAATAATTTATATAACAATAAAGACCTGCAATTGGCAGATTTAGCTCTTACATAATGAATCTTTAAGTTAAATTTGGATCTCGTACCGCATGCTTAGTTCCTTTCCAAGAACACCAGTATCAGAATTTATCAAAGTTTGTATGTTGCCTTTAACAACATGTTAAGACTATACTTAGGATTGATGACTCTTACTAAGGATGTGTCCTTCCGGGAGAATTGCTGTGAGAAATTATTTTCTGGGAGAATTCATATGCTGTTTGTTCTGTTACTCATAATCTCTAGATCAAGCCTCCAAATTCAAAATTTGAGCATTGAAAAAATATTTTTTTGTGTCTTCAGTAAATGATTTGTATGTTCAAAACATAATTTCTTCTGCGTCCTCGAAATCTGGTTTGACTATTCGCCTAATAGTTTGGATGCAGCTATGGCGGGTGTGGCGCCAGGCAGGGTAAGCTTACTCTTCCGGACACCTGTTACCACTGTTTGTCGTGTACGAGGAGCAGTCCATTTGCCGATTACACTATTTTGCTTGAATACACTATTTTGCCTATAACGTTTTTTAGGACTTCGAATTCTGTCTTATGGTTTGGATTGTTCGTACTTGGTTTTATTTTATTTTAAACATAGTTCATTATCTGATTGGACAATGTTTTTATTTTAAAATCAATGAAAGACATATCTTGTATATATAGTGAGAGAGAGAGAGAAATGGGGTTTAACGTCCACTCGACACAAACTAGGTCATTTTGGGACTAACATATGGTTTAATTTTATTTCAATAATTCGCTTGCGCGTATGGGTCTTTAGCAGTGGGAGGAAACCGGAGGACCCGGCTCCTTGTCACGAACAACCGGGGATTCGAAAACCACGGCAGTTGACTCAGTGACAGGCTTTATGATACAGTGCGCACGTGCTAACCTTTCGGCCATCCAACACCCATGTATATATAGTACTTATGAAAATCTTTTCAAGAATAATTTTGATAAAACATCTGAAAACAAATTGAGGCATATGATAGCGGCAATTATATTACAGGTATTTTTAAAAAAATTAGAAGCTTAAACATACATTATGGGAGATTAGATAAAGAGCTGGCAGTTCTCACTATAATAGTTAAAAACTAGATAATGAAAAGGGAATTTGCTGAAAGTTTCAGTCAAATTGGTCCACTCTAAACCGAGATTTTAGCGATTGAATATTGGGGCTAGCCTCGATCATCATTACTAAATTCGGTAGGATAAAAAAACATAGTCTCGATTATCCATTTTTTTATATTTAATTATGAATGGGAGTTGAACAGGAAATTGGAACCTAATCCAATAAACATTTCAGGCTAGCGATGCCATGGAGAGTTGATAGGTCTGGAGAGTCTGGATAAGTTAATTAATGTCTAATTAATAATTTAGATAACATTTCAGGCCTAAAGAAAGACCTGCAATAGACAGATTTAGCTCTTGCATAATGTATGTTTAAATAACTTGAACAATTCTTATGGATATGGTAAAACTAGAAGTTAGTATACACATTAATGGCCTGATGAGGTTTTTCTTCTGATTTATACCTTACCAAATCATCTCAATAAACTGAAAACAAACACAATAAATAATACCGATAATATCCAACCTGTTTCCAACACAAACAGACAGCAATAATCATTGAAAAGGGACTAGTTTTTAAACATAGATCATTATTCTGTTGTATTTGTCACTCAAAATTTGTCTTGAAAAGCTTCGAAAATGGATGGCATCATTTTGTGCAATTAAATAAAGATCTATGTTTTGGTAGGAATCAAGCAAGCAGGCAAGCGAGGAGAGAAATGTGAGGAAAGGAGGAATGGGAAAAAAAAAGTTAATAGAACGAAAAAAGAAATAAAACAAGTTATAATAGGGATTAAATCTACATAAATCCACCTTTTGATTGAGGACCATAATGTTGTTCTGGTGGTTTTAGAAACCGTCCTTCTTTATAACTCGACGTTTCACGGTCCGCACTATGGGCTCTTTTTTTACGACCAAACGCCTTCTTTAGGGCGCTACCAAAGGTACTCTTCTTTTTCTCTGAGAAGAAAGGTTTTAATTCATTAAGATCGCTAGTTCCTAACTTTTGACTACTATTTGATATATATTCAATGTGTTTTCTCTTATACTTGCAATTATGTATTAAATTAAAAATTATTGTCGACAAATAAACTTTTACCTCTTATTACCTAGACGATATAACTTGGCGTGATTTTCTCTAAATAAATGTCAACAGGTTAATTTGACTATAAATGCTAGGAAAAAGATACCCCCCCCCCCCCCCACCTCCTGCCCCACAAATCTTTTTTTTTCCCCGACACGTCCAATTTTTTTCTTGGCATAAAAGGGTTATCCTGCCTTAATTTTCAAAAATCTAGAGCATTGATTAATATGTTACAGATATTTAACTTCAGACTTACACAGCATTGGTCATTGTTATAATCAGTAGAGAAAATAATGAATTATTAAAATTATTAACCCAGTTGTTTTACTCGAACACTACACGTTATGAGTTTTAGATTTGAATTGCGTTGACGCCTTTAAATCACAGATAACTCTAGATATCTCATTTAAGCCAAATAATGGTTGCATGACTTTGTGGTTTATCCGTAACAGAACAAAATCGACAATTTGTAACCTTATCTCTCTACCAAATACAGGACATTTTAAGGTTTTCAGGAAATACGGTAGATTTTAAATAGAAGATTTTGTAATGAATTGTTATGACAGTGAAAGTGGCACAATTTTCAAATCTCTCCAAGTCTACAATAACACAAATATGTTAGTTTTTGACTTTGCATCCAGTAAATTGAGAATAAATGTTATTAGCATCTTGTTAAACTGTTCTCTCTGGACGATTTTCGTTCCAGTCAAACAATAATCGAGAAGACAACGTTATAGAAAGGTAATGTGTTCATCTGATCCATTGTTGCTCTTAAGTTTATTTTAATAAATATTGAATCTCGATATTCAATAGAAAACTTGTTAATGACCTGAAAAATGTGCCACTGTAAGGTATATTATGAGAAGCACCATAACCTGGATATATATTGATTAAATATATTTTCATAAGAATATCATCATTATCATAATATATACCGACTGGAATGCAAAAACATAAAACTTTGCCCAATTTAATTTCATTTTGACAACTTTTACCAATATTAGGCCTATACTAAGCAGCTAAATATATATAAGAGTGCAATTTTTGGAATACAATTTCTGTTTATTACTGAAGGATGTTTCGACTAGGCCTCTCTATTCAATATCAAGCCATTGTAATTGTATTCCATTGAATTGTCTCCTGTATATATACAGTCCCATAACTAAATCACATTGAAACAATTGAATAAAATTGAAGCTGATTAATTTTATATGCTGCATTCCAGCCTTTATATTAGGAGTAGAAATAACGGTCTAATGCAAAGTACCTTTATTGCCTACCTGGCAAATAATATTTAATATAAAGCATAAACTAAAATGTCGATAGAAATACTAGAAATAAATTCTATTGGACTGGCCCTTAAAGAGTCTATTTTACCCGCTCTACTTACAAATAACTTCAACTGTTCAGCTAGGCGTTATTTCTACTCTGATAAGATTGTTAAAATGTTAAAACAATATCCAATGAACAACAACAGTTTACCATAATTAGAAAATAACTTATAAGTATACTAATTCGATTGTTCCGAAGACCATGGTTGATCACAAATGGGACCTCTGCGGTAAACGTATTCAAACTGTAACTAAATATATTCTGGGGAACATTTGAATAATTTCAAAGGCGGAATATGGAAGTGGGTCTAATGTTGATCACAAATGCGACATCTGCATCAGACTGAGTCGAACTGTAACTAAATGCATTGTGGGGGAAATTTGAATATGGAAATGGATCAACTGTCGGAAATGAATTGAACTCGTATTTAATTTTTATTCAATAACAAAAATGTTTTATATCAGATAAAACAAAACTATCAGTACATAAAATCTCACCTTTGTCGGGTGTTCGAATTTGACGATCTCGTGCTATAGACATATCACCTGTCTCATCAGTAGGTGTACTCTCAATAGTCTTGAAAAGAAAATAGAAAAAATGCAATTAAAACAATATACGAAATGATAAAACATTTACCATTCAAGAAAAATCAATATGTACATAACATCATATCATTTGTTCCTTATTACATTTCAAAAGATGTCGTTTTGTTCACTGTTGGTGAATGTCCAACAATTTGTTTAAATTTTCTACTTAGTTGTTTCCATTATAACGTAAAATTACACATAAAAATTGATTTGTAAAAAATAAACACTAAATAAAGAAACATATTGTACAAGATAAATGAATATTTAAAGTTGCAGTAGCACAAGGCAAAATTAAACTATAAAAACTTAACATTCTACAAAATTCTTATCTTATTTTAATAATAAACTAATGAAGATAAATCATGTATACTTGTCACTGGGGCTACTCCAAAATTAAATTAGTATTTCTTTACACCACAGAATAGTTGATTGTTTACGGGTTTGTGCTGATATTGCTTTTGGATCTGGTTTTGAGGATTTTATTGTAATTACTGATAAAAAACCCTCAACAATCTATACTCTGTGGTGGGTGTAAGTCTGAAATGGTCTGATCTAACCTAAGACGTAGGAAGCTATAATACAGAGGAGAATATGATATCATGCAATATATTGGATAAACAGAGGTGGAAATTTGACAAAATCAATATCTGAACAAAAATGGACACAATTCCACACTATACGAATATTGTTTATTTATATCCTGTGTCCAAACTTTAACCCTTTGTATTATTATATATTTTCAAGAAAAAAATAAAGAAGAAGGAGAAGATATGAACGTCCATAAAATAAAAATAGATACAGCAAATAGTAATATTATTAGTACCTTTATGATGGGTATAGGTTCCTATGGAAAGTTTTAATTAAAAGGAAAAAATAATTCAATATTTAAAGCCACAAACAATACAATGTTCACAACACGTTGCTATGGATATTCATGGTAACCGTGGTTACATTAGTAACCATAGATATACATGCTAACAAATAGTTACCATAGATTACTAAGTTTTGTACATAAAGTAGTCATTATCGATAAGATAAAATTACAAATGCTGTAGTCAAACAACCTATAACAAATAACCGATGTAGCAAACGAAAGTTCCAAGTCAAATTGTGCTGATATATTAGGTAACAAATAGTAAACAAAATCCGCAACCCAAACTCCAATCCATATCCGATCAGATATTCCTGTAGGCTCAACTATCTTCAACACATGTAAACATGCATTAATAGACAACCGAATCCTAAACCTAAGCATCATAATTATGCCATTCAAAAACTCTGCAACCTAAGCATTCCAAACCTTTTCAACGTGAATTCATATCTTAACTTTCCCAAAACATGGTGATCATGCTTGTAAAATGCCTGTGGGATGCAGGATGCAGATCAACTAAAAGAGATTAGTTTTGGTTCAGTTTGATTACAGATTTTTTCGATTAACTGCATTTTGTTGGCGTGTCTGGTTATTAAAAGAAAAACAAACTTGATATTGCAAATGTGTGAGGGAGCATGACCCAATGTCGCCCTCTAAATACGCCACGGCACGTTTGTAAAATGTTAAACGAGCAACAGTTTATAAACACTGTGTATCACAATATTCACACTTTATTCAATTGTTAGTGACATCACAGGACAAAACATGAATTAATATGTAAATATACCACTAATATGCGCATACATAATTAATATATTCCATGTTAACAAGCTGTGCAACAACATGTACATATTATAATCAGTGCTTAGAATAAACACAGCATGCAATACTAACACTAATAAAGCAAATCTGACAAATGTTTTAAATATTATATCACAGTGAGTTTTGAATTGGCAGTTTGAGTCCATAATCCAGCCAAAGGTAACTATGCTTTCGCTAGCAGTATTGTTCAAAGTCTGTATCAATCTCATAATCTATGCAAGATAATTTTTCCCTTAAAACAGTTTTAAGAATCACCATCCAGATTGTATTTTAAAAATATTGTCATGCGTGCTAGAAATTAAAGAGAGTAAATAAAATAGCTTTAGTATCACTGAATATTGTCTAAATAGTTAACCTCCTTCCAGTTAGCCATAAACCATTTGTAAGATGCCTGTTCAATCTAAAGTCAAGCAAATCATGTCTGGGTTTAAACACTACTCTAATCATGCATATTTCATTTCAAAAGAAATGCTTTTTTTAAAAAATAAAACATGTAGTAAGAAACTATTCTTGTGTTTTTCTTGGTGCCAGGTTCCATCAAAATGTTGTCAGCAGTGCTGCATGTGGATGTTTTACATTCCTTTGGATGCTTTTTTATAATTTTGTGGCACAGAATGTTTTGTTTAACTCCTAGAATATTCATAGACTGCGCAGTATCTCGAATTAATGTGAAAATCCAGACTTGATCATTTTACCACTAGAAATTAAAATCTACTTTATTTACAACTAAATTATAATTTTAACTAATAAAAGAAATAATCTAATATGAATTACCTTGAACATCAGTTCTACACCAACAAAAAACAAACACAGCACACGGGACATGGTTGTTAAACACGACACAGTTAGATATTAATAAACATAATGATATCGTAGAACGCTAGCTCGGAGACGATCCTACACATTTTAGCACATATGACCTCATATGTGGGTTAGGGTAAGGGTTAGGAACTGCAGATTTCGTCAAAGTCTCGAGGTGTAAACAGGACTAGCGCTAACCCTTACCCTAACATGCACAATCCACATATGACTTCATATGTGCAGGATCGTTTCCGATCAAATGTTCTCCAATAAAATGTTGTTGTTTTATGTCCTAACCATATTTTTCATTTTAAAATTCTATCTGCTTTCTTTAAATGCAACCCCCTGTTACATCTTTTCCTTCAGTGAAAAACTAAAAAAAATATTTCTACTGGAAGAATGATTTAATGAAGAAAGTTTGTTTTTTTTACTGGTATATTCAAAATTGACAAATATAATGACAACTGAAACTATGACAAAGGCTCACTTATTGTCCTCGAGAAATATATATTTCGAACTTTGTTTGCATTCATATCGAATCTTTGGCTCAAACTAATCCATTTATCCCAAGAAATATTTAATCCAACACACTATGATAAGAAATTCCATCAATGTGTATTTATATCCAACCCACCCAATCCCCTATCAAACCCCTTGTGTATTTGAATGTATATTGAATCTTTGATTTACCCAATCCCTTATCCAACCCTTTGTGATATTAGAGATTAGAAATGCTATACAATCTAAAAATATTTTTATTGCACAACTAACAGGAAACAATAAACATTTCTGGCAAAGCATTTTTCATAATTCCGAAAACAAACAATATGTAATAAGGCCCAATCAATTTAATTTACTGTTCTTAGACGCCTTGATAAATAAATACCCACTTGAATCATGTGAAAAGTGCTTAGTTTAAAATTTGAAAACTTATAAATTTGGAACAAAATCAAAAATTTTTTTCATCAAGTTTCAAAACTTAACAAATCCTCCAAAACAAATCCTTCTGGCCTATCTCATTTGTTTATTTTCTAATTAAACAAATATATGATTAGCTTTATAGCTGGTTAATTTAAATAGATATTTCTACTTAAAACATATTAAATAGACATTTATGTTAATCACATTATACCGTGACCTGTGTTAAAAACAAAAATAATTTTTTCCCCAAAAATACAAATTTCATTTTTTTTCCCAAAAAATACAAATTTCATTTTTTTTTTTTCTGAAAATAAAAATTTCATTTTTTTCTTCTGAAAATTAAAATTTCATTTTTTTTTCTTTTGAAAATACAAATTTCATTGTTATCTTCAACACAATTCAAATTTTTGGGGGAAATCATATAAAAATCTTTTATGCTAAATATTTTGGCCATTCCCCACCACATTTAAAGATTTGTTGGCATATTATACTACAAATACGATTGGAACAATTCACAATAGAACACATTTTTGGTAACACAAAAAACAATTCCCCGAGTTAATTCAAATTCAAGACAGAAAAAAATAATTCAAAGGCAAATATTAATTCAATCAACACATATTATAATTTAAAAATGAATTAATTTAATAAATTCAAACCTAAACCAAATAAAAAAAAATATGGAAGAAAAAGAAGACAAATAAGTCTTTTTGAAATCATTGAAATCCAATTAAAGTAAATTATTTGAAAGATATCATAAGTATAATAAAATATACTAAATTAAAAAAAAAAAAAAGCTTATATAATTTTAGATCATAAAATATTTACTAGAACAAAAAATTTAAATTAATCAATAATTTTCTAATTAATGTATAAATCACAGCCTATGATAAATTTTATCCTACTTAATGTTAACATATCTGATAGCCATCTTACATCTATGATTATAGTTAATATATTCTAACAATTAGGCGGCATCTAATTTCTTTTCTCCTTTTTCGTAGAAAAAAATAATATCTGTACAATATCAAAATGTTAGCAAAAATAAAAACGTGTGAAAATGAGTATGAGTTGATACTTCCTTCAAGATTTGTTGTTATTTTTAAGGAGGCTGAATAAAATGGTAGACAAAATTTATTTTTATTTAATATACGAAAAGATTTTGTTAAACCTTGATGGGCAATCTGATTATAATACAGATGTATATTTCATTTTGTTTTTTATACTTTTGATGGCATCTACTTCACAAAGATGTGGAAGTTCGCATCAGAGGCCATACGAGTGGCTTTTGACCCTATGACATCAGACATTTGATTAACCAATCAGAGTTTATGTATCTAGTTGGTTACCCACAGTTCCGTGCACCTTACGACAAAAATCGCCATAACAGATTGTTTCATTGACTAATCCCTCACATCATCCAAAGCGCGGGTTATATAACATCTCTTCCAAATCCTAGTGTAGTAAAGACAAGTAAAACAAAATTTTGAACTATAAAAAAAAAAAATCATAGGATCTGTGTTTTAATCAGATTGTGGGATGGGGGTGTTTGTCATTGAGTTCAAGTCGTTAAGTATTAGAAAATAGTATATTTTGTCTTCACCCAGTTATATGTTACGTTAATCACTCGAATTGATATATGGATTCGGACAGTGTTTATTACCCCTTCACCCATATTGTCAGATTATTCTTTTCTTTTCTCGATTCTGTAATAAGTTTAAACCTACAATGCTATATGCAGACCATTCTGGAGAATTTTAACAAGAGCCCATTATCGAAAAGCCACGATTCTTTTAATGCTGATACATTCAAATCCGTCACATGCACAGAAATCTAAACAGGCGACATGCCATATATCTATATTCAACACACTGATATATAAATACTTATAAATCTTCGTTAACACTTATATCATGCAATAGAAAGTTCTGATGTCATCAATATGTGACTTATAGAGCACCCTTATAAAAATATCAATCAGTTACCCCCCCTTTCTAATTCTAATCTCAAATAAACTTTTCATGGCACCCTGTTAGAGTCTTAATCAGTTATCCCCCCTTGCTAATCTCAAAAAAACTTTTCATGGCACCCTGTAAGAGTCTTAATCAGTTCCCCCCCCCCCTAATCTCAAATAAACTTTTTAGGGCACCCTATAAGATTCTTAATCAGTTAGAAGATAATGGTTATCCCCCTTTTGGTTATCTCGAATAAATTTTATAATAACGTTTTCTATCCAGCAATATGGGAATTATGATCAAAACTGTTGTCTGTCGATCACAGATAAACTAAGAGTCTTATCTTCCCTTTGCTAATCTCAAAAAAAGTTTATTGTAATGTTTTTGTAATGCCTAATCAATTAGACGAATGTGAAATATTGTGTTAATAAAATTTGTGGAAATCCCAATGAAAATTTGTACTCATTTTAAAAATTCCAATGAATATTTTTACTCATTTTAAAAATCACAATGAAAATTTTTACTCATTTTAAAAATCACAATGAAATTTTTTACTCAATTTGATCAAAACATAAAAAAGATTTTAACAAACTTAAATACTTTTTAATATGAAACAAAGGGAAGATAATTTGTCTAATTATTAGAAACAGTATATCAAATCACATCAGTATTTGGCATAAAATAGAACACAATATTGGCATGCGTTATATAATATCAGATTTTATAATTTCACTCCCTCTATTCATTTAATACGAATTTGGAGTTAGTATGGAAAACAATTGGGATAAAAATTACACTAAAAATATATTTCAGTTTGGAATTAATTTGAAGTGTAACAAGTCCAATTTGTGATTATTAATATAAGAATCTGGTCACTTGACTGATTAGAAATGTTTTACCATGAAAGATTTTCTGCAACCCTGCCTATGATCATATATATTTACACACTTATCACAGATTTGTCAAAATATAATAGGAGAGAGAGATAGAGAGAGAGAAATGGGGTTAATTGCCCCCCCCCCCAATCCCCTCCCCAAACATAATAGGAGTATTAATGGGACTATGTGTTGATCAGTTTGAGTCATAAAAACATTATGATAAAACTACTGAAATAAATACTATAGTCATTTGTTTCAAAATGATCAATAAGTTAAAACTGCATTATGTAAGATTTAGATAAAGAGCTGATCATTCTTGTTACAATGTATGAATATACTGAAGATTTCATTTAAATTATCGTAGCAAAGGTACTTAACAACGGAGGATAAATAGCGAATACCCATTTTATCATTCAAGTTTTAAATCATGTGAGTGTTCAAATCCATTTAAATCTCTGTCTCGAGAGTTGATTGTCATATGAATAAATGTCTAAAGAAGCCAAAAGAAAGAAAGAACTGCGATAGCCAGATTTAGCTCTTATATAATGCATCTTAAATCTATAATGGTTAATTAGACTTCTGTATGAACGACTTTATGTGTAACATCCACATCAACTGATTCAATGGGAACCAAATTCTCCTCCGAAACTCGTCTTCTAATAGTGGTGGCCATAAACGCATCGCTTGGATCTAAGTAATTTTTATAAATATAATGTCTAGGAGAATTAAATGACCTTGATAAATCTTCTGCTGAAGAGGTCAAGGACAGAGTAGATCGTGACTTTGACCTTGATGTTGGAGATGTATTTAACGAAAGTAAGGACTGTGACCGATTTCTTACCCTCTTGACCCCAGTGATGACTAACGTGCTTGTTTTAGTTGGGGTTCGTGGACGTTTGGCACGATCTGATAACTCTCTAATCGCAGCATCTGTCACAGATTCAACACCGTTTACAACTATCAACTCTGTAACACAAATAGTAAAACACATTCTCATTGGTTAATTCAAACTAAATCTAAAACACATTCTCATTGGTTAGTCTTATAATCCAGTCAACTAACAGGCATTCCTATTGGTTGTTTCGGCCTACTTACTGGGTTATACCGGCCTGGTTCACGATCATATTGTAAAATGGGTGAGGGACCTGAAAGACAAGACTACATTAACATATCTGTAATAAATATAATATATTTAAGACAAGATAAAATAAAGTTTATAATCTGTTTTGTCAGACACCCCAACTTCGTGCGGTCCCACTTCTTTTAACACACACACCAGTTTTTCACAAATTAAAGAACGATCCCCAGTGGGCTAGATCACCCATCAGTGGGTTGGGGTAAGCCTTTCAATATTAATTTTAATTAATAATTTCTCTGTTGATGAGAAAATATCCCTATTGCCCGTGTTTTTCATAGAAAAAGTTGAAATTGTGTAAAAATGCCCGTTTGAGTTGGTTCCAAGATGCATTTTTAAGGAAAATGATTTGCTCATGCTTTTGGAATTCTTTACTATAATCAGGATGGTATCTGAATGTGTGTATGAGGTATGAGCATTATTATTGTTTACTATCATCAAGATGGTATCTGAATATGTGTATGAGGCATGAGCATTGTAATTGTTTACTATCATCAGGATGGTATCTGAATATGTGTATGAGGCATGAGCATTATTATTGTTTACTATCATCAAGATGGTATCTGAATATGTGTATGAGGCATGAACATTGTAATTGTTTACTATCATCAGGATGGTATCTGAATGTGTGTATGAGGCATAAGCATTATTATTGTTTACTATCATCAAGATGGTATCTGAATATGTGTATGAGGCATGAGCATTATAATTATTTAGGCCATACCAATTTGATTTTCTTTTTTTCTGGGCCTTGATCTTGCAAAGATGTTTTTTTCTTAAAGGACAATATTGGTGCCAGTCATTATCACATATGTGATAGAACTGGTTAAACACATTCCAAATATTATTTTATCACTCGGCCTCGAGTTCACAAAACATTCTCAGACTTAAGTTAAGAATTTACTCAAAATTGCTCGCCTTATTTTAACTAAAATATAGCCCTTTATAAAACTTATGCTGTTTTGATGTATCAAATACATCAATAAGAAACTATGTGCAAAGTTTTGTGTTTCTTCATCAAAGATATTTCTCATAAACAGTGAATGAAAGTTGAGTAAATTCTTAACTTAAGTCTGAAAATGCTTTGTGAACTTGGGGCCAGTTCTATCACATATGTGATAATGACTGGCACCAATATTGTCCTTTAAATTCAAAACTTAAAAACAGAGATAGAAACAGACAGAAATGGGGTTTAACGTCCACTTGAAACAAACTAGGTCATTTTGGGACTAACACATGGTTCAATTTTATTTCAATAAATCGCTTGCACATAGGTGTCTTTAGCAGTGGGAGGAAACCTGAGGACCCGGAGAAAACCCACGAGGTTGGATAGGCGACCCTACTCCTTGTTATGTACAACCGGGGATGAAAACTTAAAAGGAAAAGCTTATGAACAGCCCAACCAAGCTGTTTTAAATAATAAGAAGGAAAATTTCTGCAGGTGTTCATGAACAACAACAGGATGGTAAATATTACCACAATGTGTTGTGTGTATATCAGTGACCTTTAATGACCTCCACGTATCTATCAATCAATTTCACATCTCTTTAAGTTGATTAACCAGGAAATATCTGATATACTGCAGCTGATAAACACATGTTTATCCTACCTATATACATATAATAGACTGACCCAATACGCCAATATCTAATATTAAACAGTAAGTAATGGAATAGTTTAGTATATTATAAAAGGGGTGTATATAGACTGTGATATATAAAGATGTACCTTGTTCATATGTTTCTATATTTATATATTGAAGTGGATAATATTACACAACAAATGATAGATCAGCTACATGTCTGTATATTATTGTGATATATATATATGGTGATTATACATAAATGAGTTGGGTGCCAGATTAAGGTTAGGGCTAGGGGCAGCAGCCAGTTGGAGGGTGTATTATCAGATTAAGATGAGATCTTTGAGGGTTTAAGGGCTGAAGCTAAGTGGAGAGAACAGTGTCAGATAAGGGTATTAGGTTTTAGGGACGGAAGCCAGCTGGAGAGAGCAGTGTAAAATCAAGCCGAGATCCTTGGGGGTATAGGGGCTGAAGTCAGTTGGAGAGAGCTGTGTCAGAATCAGACATGATCCTTGAGGGTTTAGGGGCTGAAGCCAGGTGCAAGGAGAAGTGTCAGATTAGGATATTGGGTTTTAGGTTCTGAAGCCAGCTTCAGGGAGCAGTGTCAGTTCAAGATATTGGGTTTAGGGGCTTCAGCGCGAGAACTGCCAGAGATAAAGGGAAAAGTTATTTCATTTGTGAATGTATCAGTACACTAAATTATGTATTCAAAAAAGGGGGTATTATTGTATACATACATATAGGCAATAAACATGTTACCACTAAAACTCTGTACTGCATACCATGGTAATTGGTGGGTGAAAATACTACTGGCAACGTATCACCCCTCCACCCATCATACCGCCACTCAACTTATGTATGCATTACAAAGTGAGATGTATGGGTATAGCTGTAGCAGAACATGAGGTCTATATGTATTATGGGTGTATTACAAGGTGTGGTATATGTATGAGTGTATTACAAGGTGTGGTATATGTATGGGTGTGTTACAAGGTGTGGTATATGACTGTGCGTGTTACAAAGTGTGGTATATGTACGAGTGTATTACAAGGTGTGGTATATGTATGGGTGTGTTACAAGGTGTGGTATATGTATGGGTGTGTTACAAGGTGTGGTATATGAAGTAAGGGTGTATTACAAGGTGTGGTACATGACTGCGTGCATTACAATGCGTGGTATATGTATGGGTGTATTTAAAAGGTGTGGTATATGTATGAGTGTATTACAAGGTGTGGTATATGTGTATATTCCCTTTAGAGTATAGAGCATATTTTATCTCATTATATCAATGATAGGTAACATGAATGTGGTTATAAGTCATAATAATAATAATAATACACAACATGCAGGTTAGACACAATCAACCAGTCTTTTGTCATAATACACAAACAACATCTGCATATCTGAAACTTTCAAATAAACTCTCAAAAATAATAATTATTTTTTTTAACATTGACATCAACAAACATGGGTAATATTGTTATTAAATAAAATTATTTCTTAGTGATGTCTAAATTCTCAAAACAAAGAGAATATTGGCCACCATCACAACTAATAGGATGTGATTTCAGGTGTTCAGGTGAGACCTGTATAGTCAAGACTACAATAATTCCGCTTTTTAAAGGATACAGTACACTCCCAGCATATTAGGCCAGATTCTACATGTTGGAAATGAATCACTTAGTATTTGGAGAATTTTTTAAAATTTATATTTTCATTTAAACATTTTAAACCAATTTTTGAATTGTTTTTGATATTGGTCGCTAAAACATTCTATTATTTACATTAGAAATTTAGAAACTTTTGCTTCTACTATTAAGAATGTTATTTCAGATTTTCTAGGAGTGTACTGTATTACAAGAGAGAGAGAGAAAGAGAGAGAGAGAGAGAGAGGGGGGGAGAGAGAGAGAGGTGGGGAGAGGGGGAGAGAGAGAGAGGGGGGTTTAAATTTCGCTGGACACAAACTGGGTCATTTCCTGATTTCTTGACTAACACACGATTCAATTTTATTTCATTATTTCGCATGCCTCTTAAGCTGTAGGAGGAAACCAGAAGACCGATAGAAAACACCAGAGGTTAGACAGGTGACCCTACTCCTTGTCACGTACAAACAGATAATAGAAACCACGCCAGATGACTATATAAGAGACCTTATGACCCCTCGTGAATAAAGCATTCAGTCCTCTTCAGGTCTAGAAAATGTAATTTGTTCTGAGTGGTATTTACCTGACGATGCTGATAACGAACTGTCGTTGGTGATGATAAAAGGGGACGAACTCTCACCACTACATTCAGACCCAGAAAAGTCAGCATTAATATGACGTTTTTGTACAAGATGGGGAGAACCTATTAAAAACAACACAAAAAAAAACATGCACTGGTTATTCACAAACAAAGCAAAAAACACAAACAGGAAACGTTTCACTGGGTTAAATATACAATTATTTAAAATTTCATTAATGCCTTTTGATATCTAAACTAAAATCATGATAAACAATTGCATATCTGAAGTAAAATCATGATAAAACAATTGTATATCTCAATTAAAATCATGATAAAACAACAATTGTATATCTCAATTGAAATCATGGTAAAACAATTGTATATCTCAATTAAAATCTCAATAATGGATGCATTTCTTGTGTTCAAGACAGCAAAGATCCATGCATATTATTTTGATGAATGGAAAACTACAGGATGACATCATCACTTTCATCATTGAAATTTAGTGACACTAGGTGGTAGACTTAAACTGCACTACAAGGATGTATGCCATATTGCCACCGTCCCGGTAAAATTTCCCACATAGAACACTATGCGGCTTATGTCCATCTTCACTAGCCCAGTTGGAGCAAAACCTTAGTGTACAGGGAACAGTTTGGGAATCTAACTGATTTGAGCGAAGTTATTTTACCTTCGCTCACATTTTATTTAGGGTTTAAAAAAGGGATGAACAGTGTTCTTCAAACCATGCTATAAGGTAATGATGTTGTTTCACACACAATGAGAAATTAGTCTAGATTATGAGTTTTATGATATCTAGCATGAATGACATCAACAGGTATTTTTTCTTAAAGGGACAATAACACTCTTGCTGGCTTGACAGCTCCAGAAAATAAATAATAGCCTTATTCTAAGTATTAGATGTTTAAGTGTCCGACCTGTTGTGTAAATTATCCATTACATCCAATTTTACTTGTCCAGAAAGTTCGAAAATATTTTTAAATCCAAGTCACATTTGAAAAGGTTTACGTTAGGCTTTTCAAATCATTTAGTTGAATTTTTCCAATTTTTTAAATTAGGTGTGTTAAGATGAAATTTGTATCATCAATTAATTGAAATATTCTAAAATAGTACAATTTGTTGACCAGTATAAAGATTGGGACATATTATTCAGTTACAACAAGAGTGGTATTGCCTTTAAAAAAAATGGAGGAAATGTTTATTTAACTCAATGCTTGTTTGTTAAAATATATAATTTGTATTGTTGAGTGGGTTATGAGGCAGTGATTATAGAGATGAGGCGCGCCAGTGCTGAATTTACATTTCCTATGTTCTGTAAAAAAGTTTTCCTCTATGTCAGAGAGAAAGAGAGAAATGGGGTTTAACTTCCACTCGACACAAACTAGGCCATTTCATTTCAATAATTTGCTTGATCTTGAGGGGTCTTTAGCAGTGGGAGGAAACTGGAGGACCCGGAGAAAACCCACTAGATTGGACAGGCGACCCTACTCCTTGTCACGTACAACTGAGGAATCTTCCTATATGTCAACTAGAATTATTGGTGTGATTTATATTGATGTTTACCATCTAATCCTGGGTCCTGGTTTCCGTAAGGTGATTTCTCTGTAGTTGTCCTCGTAGTGGTAACCACGGTACCACCAGGTGTCACTGTACGACCGGTTTCGATACGTCGTTTAGGAGAGATCTGGTTGCTAGCGGCAGCAGAAATATCCAATAATAAATCAGCTTCTGAAGGATCCATGAACAGGAACTGGAAAAAGACAAATGAATAAAAAGAATAAAAAATCCGAAATTGCCCACCATTTTAAAGAGAGAGAGAGAGAGAAATGGGGTTTAACGTCCACTCAACACAAACAAGGTCATTTCGGGACTAACATATGGTTTAATTTTATTTCAATAATTCGCTTGCGCGTAGGGGTCTTTTAGCAGTGGGAGGAAACCGGAGGACCCGGAGAAAACCCACGAGGTTGGACATGCGACCCTACTCCTTGTCACATACAACCGGGGATTCGAAACCACGACAGTTGACTCAATGACAGGCCGTATGATACAGCACGCACGCACTAACCATTCGGCTACCCAACCCCTCACCATTTTGAAACTACAACTGTGGGATCCATCAGAACTAGAAGTAAAATCAGACCCGAAAGCATGCCGAGCTCAGAGGCCTTCAGCAAATACTCTGTTTAGCCCTTAACCAGTCCACGAGGTTGGACAGGCCATTCTACTCCTTGTAGCATACAACTGGGGAATCGAAACCACGGCAATGATATAATGCACACACGCTAAGCGTTCGGTCATCAAACCCCCCCTTTAATCTTTATCACCTGGTAGGTGTAAATATTGACTACCCCAGTTAAACTTTAGGAGAGAGAGACAGGCAGAGGGAGAGAGAGAGAGACAGAGAGAGAGAGAGGGGGTTAGAGAGAGAGAGAGAGTTTAATGTCCACACGACACAAACTAGGTCATTTCAGGACTAACACATGGTTGAATTTTATTTCAATAATTCGCTTGCATGTAGGGGTCTTTAGCAGTGGGAGGAAACCAGAGAACCTGGAGAAAACCCACGAAGTTGGACAGACGACCCTACTCTTTGTCCCGTACAACCAGGCAATCGAAACCACAGCAGTTGACTCAATGACAGACCTCAATGACAGGGTGCACATGCTAACCATTCGGACATCCATCCACCACCCACACCTTCCGCAAATACTCTGTTTAGTAATCAGTGACAGTAATAAATCTGGATGGATTGTTTGTTTCTTCTGTGTTTTACTTTGCAGGAAAGGGAAGAAATTTAACAGTACCTCAGTTATTTTGAGACTAACATAAGCTAATATTTTGCTATGGTCATGTGTGCAACGCTGGGGACATGAACTCTTAGTGCGTACACATGAGGACTAACAGATTCTACCCCTTACAATTTTTTTAGCAGTTTTACTGCACTGTATACTATTAAGGCTACATGTGATCAGTTAACCCTTCAGGACTTGGTACATGTTAACATAGACTACCCTAGTTAACCCTTCAAGACTTGTTAATATAGACTACCCTAGTTAACCCTTTAGGACTTTGTACATGTTAATATTGAAGAAAAGTGATTTATTAAATACTGTCTGAAACTGCTCTTCCTTTGACCACCAAGATAAGTTACAGAACCATTTTCTAGTCATAGTTGTGCACATCACCAATGCAGCTTGGTGCAGTCTAAGGAACCCTAGTTAGGGTGGTCTAAGGAACCCTAGTTGTGGCGGTCTAAGGAACCCTGGTTGTGATGGTCTAAGGAACCCTTGTTGGGATGGTCTAAGGAGCCCTAGTTCAGACGGTCGAAGGAACCCTAGTTGGGACAGTCTAAGGAACCCTAGTTGGGGCGGTCTAAGGAACCCTGGTACAGGCTGTCTAAGGAGCCCTAGTTAAGGCAGTTTGTCAGTTGAAGGAGCTATAATTAGGGCTGTTTGGGGCGATCCAATGAGCCATAATTTGGGCGACTTAAGACAATCGAAGTACTAAACGGATTAATGTCATACCTCTACAGTTAAAGCTCCACATGAATTATCTAGAAACCCAGGTCGACTCTGTAACGCTAAAATCTGTCTGGTACTTGGAGTTTTACGTAGATCATCAATGTACACGATAGATTCTCCGATAAACTCTTCTGTAATAAAAATATAATTTCTGACATACAAATCTCAAAATCTACCAGTGGTTAATTAAAAAAATTTAAAATACAGATGTGACGTCATCCTTTGATGTTGGCGTACCACTATTTCAAATAATCGTACGGGCAATGTGTCAAGTGTAACTAGTTAAAATATTGAAAACGAGTGACGTATTTCATTGCAAAGCATGTGCAAGTCTCTGTATTTTAAATTGTTTAATGGTCTCGAGCTTAAGACATTGCGTAATATATTGTAAAAACACTCGGGCGTACGACCCTCTTGTTGTTACAATATATTACTTAATGTCTCGCTCTCGACCATTCTGAATTTCTGGTATTTCCAATATTGAAATAGAAATTAGGGCTTATGTGTTTATTATACATAAATACAATAATATTATTAAAGACTACCATTCAGTATTTGGTTTTTGCCGAGTAAATAGGAATTTCTGAATTTTGCTCTTTTTCAATATACATGTATATTGGAAATGAAATTAAAATTGAAATTAGGGCTAATGCATTTTATACCATAAGCCCTAAATACAATATTATTACCAAAGGCGACTTCTTGACAGAGTGTTCCTCAGATTATAGAAGTGAGCAAGGGCCAATTACTCCAGATATATAATTATTTGGATCTGTTGACCAATATTAATCTTCTTGTACTACGCTCGGAATCAAGCCCACGATATAGCATTCAAACAGTGCTATTTCCGACTACCACAAAGTGGGAAGGGAATAAAGATTCCATTAGGAATTCCCACCGTATGATTTTTAAATTACTAACCTCCAGGTGATTTTGCCCGATCATAAACTTCTAAGCGTAATTCTCTGGTATCCTGGGTAACATCACTAATAATATAAAACATTGTTCTAATATTATCTCTGTTTAAAATACAACATCTGAACTTTCCAAATAAGTACAAGTTCTAATAAATATGAAGTGATATCAGGTTGTTCTGATATGGTATCAGGTGTTCTAATGAAAAAGAAGTGTTCTAATAAATGGGAAGTGGTACCAGGGTCTTCTGATAATTTGGAAGTGGTATCAGGGTCTTCTGATAATTTGGAAGTGGTACCAGAGTGTTTTAATAAAAAGTGTTATCAGGGTGTTCTGATAAATATGAAGTGGTATCAGAGTGTTCTAATAAGAAGTGGTATCAGAGTATTCTGATAAATAAGAAGTGGTGTCATGATTAAACCTTTCCATTATTTTATAATGTCTACTAGAAGTTAAAATAACAACTTACAACAGAAAATGTTCATCCCAGAATGGATTAATGGTATTTTTAACGGCACTTGTACTGTAGTTTTGTACTGGATCATCCAGTAAGAGAAGACAAACTGGTTCTACAGTACCTGTAATATACAATAAGACACTGGATAATCCAGCCTTGTATCGCCTATACAGCTGTCAGGATAACAATGTCTACAGATAGGAGCCGTGGTTGCTCAGTGAGTTGGCACCAGGGGGACTGGGGTTCGATCCCAGGGTTGGTCAAGAAAGTTTCACTTGTCCGTGGGTGCTGGGTGGAGAAAGTGACAAAGGCATTGTCTAGTCATTCAGATGGAACAAAAAGTCAAGGTCCAGTGTACTCCTTGGTGTGCAAGCCAACAGAAGAACCCTTGTCTGGTATAAATTATAATGCTTTTTCTATTGTCTCATACACAAGGAACCAATCTATGTACCAAGATGAACTATGATACTGGTTTATTAAACATACATTGTGTAAGAGCTAAATCTGCCTATTGCAGGCCATTCTTTAGGCCTGAAATGTTATCTAAATTATTAATTAGACATTTATTAACATGAAAAGAAGATAATCAACTCTCAATGCCACATTATCTGTCCAATTTTTAATGGATTTGAATCCAATCTGCTGTTCAATCAAGACTACAAAGATTTTAAAATAAGATTTTCTCGGCTTAGAGTGAAACAATTTGACTGAAATTTTCAGCATATTCCCTTTACATCATCTGTTATAGTGAGATCTACCAGCTTGTGTATCTTTAATATTATGATTATCACTAATATGATTATTACCAGTTTCCTTTGATGCGAGCCCACTGGCTTTAATAACTTTAACGAGCAATCTCTTCTCTCCAGCCGTTCGGGGAGGTTTAGCTGGGGTTACTGATGCAGCCTGAAACTACAAACAAATTATACTCAAATTAAATAAACAAATCATCTTCACAAAGTTTAAAAAAAACAACAACAACTAAAGCATATACTCTAATAAGATCACGGTGAATCACGGTGGCTAAGTGGGTAAGATGCTGGCTCGCTAACCTGGAGGTCAGGTGTTCGATCCCTGCATTGGACGAGAAAGTTCATCCAGATTTTCCGGCGTGGTTTCCCCTTGTCAGTGATACAGGACAGAGGGCCTGACAAGGACAGCTGTCTAGTCGTTCGAATGGGACAAAAAACCAAGGTCCCGTGTACACATTGGTGTGCACGTAAAAGATCTCTTGGCAGTTAGAATTTGATATAAGATTAAGCCGTAGTGCCGCTGCCCGGGCAAAATTTCCCTCATAGCACACTGTATGGCGTATGCCCGTCTTCATTAGTCCAGTTTAGGAGTAGGAGAGAGAGAGAGAGTAAAATGGGGTTTTACATCCACTCAACACAAACTAGGTCATTTCGGGACTAACATATGGTTTAATTTTATTTCAATAATTTGCCTGGCCGTTGGAGTCTTTAGCAGTGGGAGGAAACCGGAGAAAACCCACAAGGTTGGACAGGCGACCCTACTGCTTGACACATACAACTGGAGATTCGAAAGCACGCCAATTGACTCAATGACAGACCTTAAGATACAGTCTGCACGTGCTAACCATTCGGCCATCCACCCCCCACCCCCCCCCCCCCCCAGAATAGGAGGATGTTAAAACCCATTTCATTTCATTTCTAATAAGATCCACTGGAAGCCAAACTAATTTCATTTTCTGTTCTTCGTAACACCTGTTAAAAGTTTTGCTTTTTATTTTCTTAGGAAACAAAAAAAAAAAAAACTTGTTGCACTGTTCAGAAGCTTTTAGTTCCAAATTTTTCCTTTTTGAAATTTTGAACAGAACATTTTTCACATGATTCAAGTGGTATATTTATCTATCAACACTCGGAAGAATAGACCCTAAGAAGAGATAGTCAGGGTGGTGTGGCTTTATAAATAAAGTTAAATTTAAATTCTTGATTATTTTTCTGATTAAAGATGCATTATGTAAGAGCTAAATCTGGCTATTGTTAGTCTATTTTCTGACTTCAAATGTTACATGTATATAACCTATTATATAGACATTTATACACATGATCAGCCCATAATCAACTCTTGATGCCATATTATATGGACATTTATAAACATGACAAGCCTATAATCAACTCTTGATGCCATATGACAAGCCTATAATCAACTCTTGATGCCATATGACAAGCCTATAATCAACTCTTGATGCCAGATGACAAGTCTATAATCAACTCTTGATGCCATATGACAAGCCTATAATCAACTCTTGATGCCATATGACAAGCCTATAATCAACTCTTGATGCCATATGACAAGCCTATAATCAACTCTTGATGCCAGATGACAAGTCTATAATCAACTCTTGATGCCATATGACAAGCCTATAATTACATGTAACTCTTGATGCCATATGACAAGCCTATAATCAACGTGTGGCTTCGATATAAAAGGGAACTGAACACCGGCCCAATTTTAATAATTTAACGTTTAAACGGATAATCAAGACTTGTTTTTTATCGTGGCACTCAATGGTACTTGCCAATTGTGACTATCTTGTCAAAACTTCCAACATTCATATGCTCAGAATAAAGTAATCTGACTGAAATCTTCATTTTTCATTATCTATGTTTGTACCATTATAGCAAGAATGTCCATCTCTTTATCTTAATCTTATTACATAGTGCATCCTTAATATAACTATTATAGCAAGAACATCCAGCTCTTTAACTAAATCTTACATAATGCATCCTTAATATATCTATTATAGCAGGAACGTCCAGCTCTTTATCTAAATCTTACATAATGCATCCTTAATATATCTATTATAGCAAGAACGTCCAGCTCTTTATCTAAATCTTACATAAAGCATCTTTAATGCTGTCTAAAATATTTTTACATAAAATCAACTTACAGTTGGTTCAAATTGTCTAGCCTCAATGGGCTCGAAAACAGCTTCTGGACGTGGGAGGCGTTCTTTGGTAGGTTGGGAGCGGGGCTTAGCCACAGGGGCACTTTGTTGATACGGCGAGCTTGATGCGAGAAAAACTTCATTCGAAATGTCACTTGCAAACTGGTTAGCAGATCCTGCATACTGATTGGCTGCAGAAGTCATTTGGTTTGTTGTTGATGCTAACTGGTTTGATCCTGATGTCATCTGATTGGCAGTTCTTGCTTGACCTTGACCCCCACGTGCATTCTGCCCTCCCTGAGCATTAGCAGGTGCTGTACCCGCAGCCTGAGGGTCAGTCATCATCCAATCAGTGATATTATAGGTGGGGCTAGCGAGGATGATCGCATTACGAACAACCTCGTCAACCACACCAAGGTCAACCAACTCCTTTTGATCCTGAAATAAATGAAGGAAATGTAAGATCATTAAAAATGGATGAAATAATGAATGAGATTAAAAAAATTATTAAGTGATGAATTGATGAGAGTAGTATGGATGAAGAAAATTAACTGTAACTCAAGTAAAAACAAGAAGAGTCATCATCAACATCCCGCACCCTTGCACTTGTTCAGAAGTAATAAGGAAACCCAACTTCTTGGAATATCAATAGCAAATGGCACAACTACTGTAATAGGTTGATATCTTGAATGGTTAATGAGATATGCTCCAGAGAGACAGAGCCCATTTCAATATCCCTCCCTAACTTCGTTCGACACTGGATAATAACGAAATAATTATCAAAAACCTGTTAATAGAAAGGCAAATGACCCTGCTCTATTGGGAGCAGAGTCGAACATTGGAAATGTGCCCTTTCTGAACGATTCCTACCCTTACACATACTCAAAAATAGGGAGAGAGAAATGGGGTTTAACATCCACTCGACACATATGGTTCAATTTTATTTCAATAATTTGCTTGCACGTAGGGGTCTTTAGCAGTGGGAGGAAACCGGGGGACCCGGAAAAAACCCACAAGGTTGGACAGGCGACCCTACTCCTTGTCATGTACAACCGGGGAATTGAATCCACGCCAGTTGACTCAATGACAGGCCTTATGATACAGCGCGCACGTGCTAACCATTCAGCCATCCAACCCCCCTCAGACTCAAAAAGGATCCAAACTTAATATACTGTATATAATAATCAGCAAACAAAATTAACAACAAATCACAATGCACAAAAAATATATACGATACACAGTACATGATTCTTGAATTTAAATATAAAATATAAAAATATCTTGCTGCTCTATGCTGAAGTCAGAGGCAATATGTCAGAGCTACAATAAATAAAATATTTCAGTTAACATACTAAACTTACTGCATACTCTTCAGCCTCAAAAACACTAACTGGTCGAATACAACATGATCGCTTTAATAATATCTCCATTTTAATATTAATAACTAATACACTTTATATCAATAACTCACATTACAGTATATCTCAATATCTCACTTCTCAGAAAATCTCAATATCTCATAATATCCCAAAAATCCTGGAACCTCACATCTCAAAAGTTGTGATATCTAAGAACATTTAGGAAAAAAGCTTTATATCTCACATATTATATGTCTCTATATATCTCACAACATTTTAGAAAATCTTGATATCTCACAATTTCTCAAAATTCTTGATACCTCACAACATCTCAAAAGTCGTGATATTTCAGAACATCTTAGAAAATTCTGATATCTCACAACATCTCAGTAAATCTCAATATCTCACAATATCACAACATCTCAGTAAACCTCAATATCACAACATCTCAGTAAATCTCAATATTTCACAACATCTCAGTAAACCTCAATATCACAACATCTCAGTAAATCTCAATATTTCACAATATCTCAGTAAATCTCAATATTTCACAACATCTCAGTAAACCTCAATATCACAACATCTCAGTAAATCTCAATATTTCACAATATCTCAGTAAATCTCAATATCTCACAACATCTCAGTAAACCTCAATATCTCACAACATCTCAGAAAATATTGATATAGAGCACCAAACCTCCAAACCATAAATTCTGCTCAAAGCACACACAAATTTTATTCTAAGTTAGTTTTAATTCAAATATCAATATTGTTGGAGCAGTATCTCAGAAAACCTTGATGCCTCACAATATCTCAGAAAATCTTGATATTACACATTTCAGAAATTCATAAATTCTGAATATTACACTTTATCCCAGAAAATCGTGATATCTCAGAAAACCTCCTTATCTCAGAATATCCCAGAAAATCTTTATATTTCACATTTCAGAAATTCAGAATATTTCACTTTATCCTAGAAAATCGTGATATCTCAGAAAACCTCCTTATGTCAGAATATCCCAGAAAATCGGGATATCTCAGAAAACCTGACACTATCTTGATATCTCTTTGATGTAAGAAATACTATTGGGTTAAATACAACACAAACACTTCAATCATATCTTCATTTCCTTATTGTTATACGTTTTCTTTACATTCCTACCAAAAATAGGTTGCCAGGCAGCAATACAAAACATGACAAATTCTAAACTGAATTTTGTTTAACTAATGCCTAATTTCAGTAAGTAAAATATTTTCATCACGAACTGGTAGATAATTTTGAATCATATTAAACCGCTTTCGAAATAACAAGAAATATAACCGAATCATATTCAGAAAAACAAAATCTTTGTTCACAGGGCAAACACAGTAATTCCTGTTAAATACACAACAAAATGAAACCCACATCTGTTTCATGAGCACAAGTCTATGTCACTATAGCTACATAGATCTAGAAGACTAGTTAGGACTGAAACACAGACAATCTGTGAGTATTACAGCAGGAATATGTGGAACACAGCAGGGTACGTAATTAACATACTCTTACCTTCAATAACACAAAAAAACTAGTAGATATAAAAACTAGATCAAGTGACTCCTCACTGGGTTCAGATGGTGAAGTAGGAGTTTGATGTCCCCTAAATACTAGAGGGAGAGAAATGGGGTTTAACATCCACTCGACACAAACTAGATCAAGTGACTCCTCACTGGGTTCAGATGGTGAAGTAAGAGTTTGACGTCCCCTCAATACTAGAGGGAGAGAAATGGGGTTTAACATCCATTCAACACAAACTAGATCAAGTGACTCCTCACTGGGTTCAGATGGTGAAGTAAGAGTTTGACGTCCCCTAAATACTAGAGGGAGAGAAATGGGGTTTAACATCCATTCAACACAAACTAGATCAAGTGACTGCTCACTGGGTTCAGATGGTGAAGTAAGAGTTTGACGTCCCCTAAATACTAGAGGGAGGGAAATGGGGTTTAGCCTCCACTCGATACAAACTTGATCAAGTGACTCCTCACTGGGTTCAGATGGTGAAGCAAGAGTTTGACGTCCCCTAAATACTAGAGGGAGGGAAATGGGGTTTAGTGTTCACTCGACACAAACTTGATCAAGTGACTCCTCACTGGGTTCAGATGGTGAAGCAAGAGTTTGACGTCCGCTAAATACTAGAGGGAGAGAAATGGGGTTTAACATCCACTCGATACAAACTAGATCAAGTGACTCCTCACTGGGTTCAGATGGTGAAGTAAGAGTTTGACGTCCCCTAAATACTAGAGGGAGAGAAATGGGGTTTAGCGTCCACTCGACACAAACTAGATCAAGTGACTCCTCACTGGGTTCAGATGGTGAAGTAAGAGTTTGACGTCCCCTAAATACTAGAGGGAGGGAAATGGGGTTTAACATCCATTCAACACAAACTAGATCAAGTGACATGGTGAAGTAAGAGTTTGACGTCCCCTAAATACTAGAGGGAGGGAAATGGGGTTTAGCGTCCACTCGACACAAACTAGATCAAGTGACTCCTCACTGGGTTCAGATGGTGAAGTAAGAGTTTGACGTCCCCTAAATACTAGAGGGAGGGAAATGGGGTTTAACATCCATTCAACACAAACTAGATCAAGTGACTCCTCACTGGGTTCAGATGGTGAAGTAAGAGTTTGATGTCCCCTAAATACCAGAGAGAGAGAAATGGGGTTTAGCGTCCACTTGACACACGAATACTGAAATTAGAAGGTGAAGTGAGGTTTAACTCCACCCGACAATAACCGGGTCATCGAAACCATTCCACTTGACTCAATGACAGATCTTATGATCTATAGTGCACACATTAGGTTAAACCATTCGAAGGCTCCCCCCCCCAACCCCAATCAACCCACTTGATACTGACTAGGTCATTTCAAGATCAACTGACCATATATCTTTAACTTACATATTGCATAGTGCTTTGAGAGACATTTTAACCGAACAGAGGCTTTTCAGCCTAATCGTTAACCAATTCCAACCGCAAAAGTTATTTTTACAGGCCATCTGAAGAACAAGATGCTGTTCATTGTCTCGCCAGATTATCTCTCTCTCCCACATCACTGGCAGGTTGACACCACACTCTCCTGCATCACTGGCAAGGGGACACCACACTCTCCTTCATCACTGGCAGGTTGACACCACACTCTCCTGCATCACTGGCAAGGGGACACCACACTCTCCTACATCACTGGCAAGGGGACATCACTCTCTCCTACATCACTGGCAAGGGGACATCACTCTCTCCTACATCACTGACTAGAGGAACCAGACTGGAAAATCCTGAGGGGCTTTCTTGGCCAACATCCAGCTCAAACTCTGTTTAGTGAGCCAGCAGCTTAGTCAATGAGCCACTGTGACTCCCGGTTGAACGCAGTGTGTTCAAAATTCATTAGCGACACGTTTAGTTTCTTTGTGGAATGATAAATCCGCTTCATAGAACTAGAGTCATCCAATTACATGTGTCGTAGAAATAAGAAACCAGAAATTGAATAATTACATCTCTAGCAACAAATAAAACAACAAAACCGGTACTTGAATTAATCTTCAAAATGCCAGAACAAGAGGAAGCAGGGTGATGGATCAGGTTTCTTACTTATGTACCCTAGTGAAAGATTCTTACACATGTATCTACACCATGGGTACTGAGGACTATGGAAAATGACTGAATGTGACCCATACGATAAAACATTGATCACTGATCACTATTAGCCTAACTAGTGAGCAGTCATCTGGCCTATTACTATCTCTACATGTAAACACAGAATATTTTTATTTTTATTTTAATTCTTGATAAAGATCTAATACTAAGTCAACTTGAAATCATGTTCTTGATTTTAATTTAACAAACATGAATTAAAATAAGAGGCTAGAAGGGCTGGACCAGGATGGTTTGCCCTTGTCAGTGGTGCAGGACGAAGGACCTGAAAAGAACATCTGTCTAGTCGGGAAGTCTTATAGTGCACACCAATGTGTATACTGGTGAACGTCGGTTTTTCATCCTATCTGGAAGACTAAGCAAACTTTCCTGGTTGTCACCCCTGACAAATGAGACTTGAAAAAATCCAGAAGATAGGAATAAACCCATGACAAAACTTGAACCTGTATCAAATATCTATCAACAGATGCTGGAAAACTGCTAAATACTACAGAGCAGGGCTCTATAAAAGTTCAGTGTGCCTGCGCACACACTTGAAAATGTGCCTGCAGGGTCATACTGAAACACAGGGATGTAGTCAGGATTTGGTGAGTGGTGTAAAAATATATTTGGTGAGGCAAAAAAATTTTTGACAAGGGACGTGGTCTTTTATGAAAATTAAACCCTTCTTGGTGTATTTTCAGAGCATCCTCTGCCTTTTGTATTTGGTTCAGTGCAAATCAAATTTCCATTTATATATTCACATTTTACCAAATTCACTTAATTTTCATCAATGATACAGGGATCTAAAAACTTTTTGACACCACCCGACCGAGCATAAAATTGTCCAGCCCCACTCTGTTTCTCTGGATAGATAAGTTGAGGACCTTTCGGTATTTGTTGTTTTCTTGGGTTTTTTTCAAATGTTACTTTATTACTTTGAGATTAAAAATTAAATTGATTCTTAAAACGGTGTTTGTGTTTTATTTGAGTACAATGAATTATGACAACAGGTAGATATTGATAATTAAAACACGTTGTATAATTTGACTTGTTTGTAAAGTTGTTGTACGTGTCTCACGAATATTATTATTATTACGGTGGAATGAGAATCAGGTCAGGCAGAAACTGAGAAAGCTCTCATCGTCCTCCTAGTCCTACTCTCGGGCCGAAGCAAATCCACGGTCAACACAGGTAGGAAATAAAATAAGAAACATCGTGAAAATTTGCAGGCACGTGTTGGACAATTACGACATTCAAACCTTTAACATTGGAGTGCCGTAAATTGGTCTGGGTGACCTATTTACGGCAAATAAACAAATATAAAGACTGTAGAATAATTGTAAAATGAATAGACCTAGGCCTACACATCTTCTAAGTATAAATAAACAAAATACCAATACATCTTTCTTTAAACTAATTTGGGATGATAGGGTCTACTACGGCACACAAAAATAAATTATGCCGTGACAGACATGGTTTGCGTACGCCGGCTTTTACCATGGCTTTGCCGTTTGATTGCCGTGGTAAATTTCGAGCGCCGAGTTTGTGTACAGAGAAGGACGAAGGGGTTTAAATATGGCTGGGCAGCTTTCTTCGGTTTTTTCTTTGTGCTGGGCGGCAAAAAAAAGTGCCGGGCGCAGGCGCCGCCCGGCGTGGCTACATCTTTAAAAATGTGCCTGCAAAAAAGTTTTTTTATAGCAAATGTGCCTGCGCACGCCGTGCGCATGTGCGCGGAAATATTGATGCCTGCTACACAGACAGAACAAACATTACATTAAAGCACACATAATATGTATGGGCACAAAGAATCAAAACAATTATCTTAAATAAAGGTCAAACTGAATAATACTGGAAGACATCATTCTCCCTCTTATCTGTAAACTAAATAATAAATTCCTAATAAAAGTCTAATAAAAAACAAATAATAAATCCTAGTTTAAATAATAACAAATAATAAATCATGATTTAAATAATAACAATTATAATAAATCCTGATTTAAATAATAACAATTATAATAAATCCTAGTTTAAATAATAACAATTATAACAAAACCTGGTTTGAATCATTCAATTCATCGCAGTTGAATCCTTCAACTAAATTTGGAAAAACAATATTTACATAAAGAACATTTCAAAGAAATTTAATGAAATAATCTCTGAGTAGTTTTAAAAATAAACAAACGCAGGATCAAAGATAATTGCCTTCCAGGTGAAACACACAGGTAAATGTAGAAAATTACAAGATGGCACAACTTAAATGGTTTATATAACTGTTTTAGACAAAGTACACGTGTTTGATGAAGGCAGATCAGAATAAACAAACGAATCTGGCCTTATCTTGTATCCTTATCTCTTGCAGCCATCTTGTTTGTTAAAGACATATTCTCTGTGCCTTGTAACATCTGGCACGGATCTCCATGACGATGATTACCCCCCCAAAAAAACTCATCCCAGGAATCAAATTACAACCCCACACAAAACACTCATCACTGGAGTCGGTTTACAACCAGGAATATACCATCATCTATTACTACTCTAACATCACATAGGAAAAAAACTCTCAACACAACACACTTCGGCATGCATGCATGTGTAATTTGTGTGTGCACGCACAGTTTTATACTTCTCACAGACATTCTTACACATTCCTGCAGTTCCTTGAATAAATATTTTCTAAAATCTATTTTCTAACATATTCACAATATATGCTAAAGATAGGTTGCCAGGCAACAAAACATACGTCCACAGCAGCTGAATCATATTTAGTCTGTTGAAGGCAATGGGGTGAATTTGCAAGACAATTTCATACAGATCAAATTATAATTTTCGTCCCTTGAGGGTTCACAAGGTGCTACAAACTGAATCAAGGGCCTTAACTCTAAAAGTAATATATAAAAATTGCTGAAGTTCAGCAGCCTTTCTCGTTTTACTAATTTTAATAATGCATATAAATTTCATACAGATAGGATGATGACTTTTGTCGTTCGAGCATTCACAAGGTTCAACAAAGTGAAACAAGGGCTATAACATAATTAACGGAAATTGCTGAAATTCAATAGGCCTCTCTGTTTTATTAATTTAAATAACGCATATAAATTTCACACAGATAGCATGATAACTTTGGCATTAGAGCATTCACAAGGTTCAACAAAGTGAAACAAGGGCCATAACTCTAGACGTAATTAATGGAAATTGCTGAAATTTAAAGGATGCATATAAATTTCACACAGATCGGATGATAATTTTTGTCCTTAAAGCATTCACAAGGTGCAATAAAGTGAAACAAGGGCAATAACTCCAAAAGAAATTAACGACAATAATTGTAAACCACATATATCAATTTCAAAACAATCAGATCATAAATGTAGTCTGTTGAGTGTTCACAAGAAAGTGTGGTCGACTTACCGTAGGACAGACGGAGATGACAACAATATACAACCACATTTCCATGTGGGCATATAAAAATAAAACGTCAATTTGAATATATTTAGCTATTTCACTAATTCACATAATGCAAAAACTTTGGAAAATAAAAAGCAGTAGCAGTAACATTTCATTTACCAAATATTTAGGTCATTTCGAAACTAACATAGTCTTACTTTACTTCTATAGTAGCGTGGAATGCTATAGAATAAAATATGTATATATAGTGCCAGGGCTGTCGAAACGAGGTTAGGATCCTTCATCTACCCAAATAATTTGCAAATAATCATCAAAGGGACAAGCTGGGAGCCCTATTTGCATTTTTACTAACTATGCTGACAGCTCAAAACCACCTATAGACATCGGGGGTTGTTGTCATCCAACCATCCAGAGACAAAAAAAAAACATCTCATCCAATCTGACCAAATTCAAACATTTTTTGCCTTACAAAATGTGCAGTGGAAGCGAACAAGAGGAAAATAAGCATAGATAACGAAGTGAAATGAAATGGGTTTTAATGTCTACTGTTGTGCAACACCCAAGCTAATGACGGCCAGGATACACCATGCTGTGTGCCATGCCAAAGTGTACCCAGGACTTTGATTTTCTGTCCCATTAGAACCTGCACTGACAAGTGAAAACTGGGAGGATCTCTTCCCAGTTAGTGAGGCAGCGTCTTACTCTCTGAGTCACCATGGCTCCCAGCATATCTGACAGACATATTTTTAACAATCCTTTTTTTTTTAAACGATGGGTTTGCAAAACTAAAACCTAGTGAAAAGAGTGCAAAAAAACCTCAAAACCAACTAAAAACACATCTATTGACAATAAATCTGTTTCTGATATATTTGTGTAGAAATCAAATCATTCTTCAATCTCTATATATATATGTACGCAGTTGTCATGCAAAGTCAACTTACCACTTGGTTAGTATCTGGACCAAACTTCTGTAAGGATATATATGGGTGTATATTAAATAAATATCTAGGTAATGAAAGGGGAGGGGGGGACGACAACGCTCCCTTAAAAGAGACTGGACAGACCGGGAGATCTGCTTAGCTGCTGGATCAAATGATTATGTCAATGGAGAGATTAGATATTTAAAAATCCCAGCTTAACAATACCACAAAAATAATTGCTTGGAACTCAGTGTTGGTTTATTCATCTTCGTAACGTTCATGGGAATTAAGGTGGAGAAGAATTTTGGTTTATTGATCTTCATAACATTCAAACGAGAGAGAGAGAGAAATGGGGTTTAACATCCACTCTACACAAACTAGGTCAGTTTGGGACTGACATATGGTTTAATTTTATTTCAATAATTTGCTTGCACGTAGGGGTCTTTAGCAGTGGGAGGAAACTGGAGGACCCGGAGAAAACCCACGAGGTTGGACAGGCAACCCTACTCCTTGTCATGTAAAACCGGGATTTGAAACCATGCCAGTTAACTCAATGACTGGTCTTATGATACAGCGCACGTGCTAACCATTCGGCCATCCAACCCCCCAACGTTCAAGGGACTTTTAACCTGAAACGTTATGACGATGAATAAATCACCTCTCATTTCAACCTAAGTACGTTTTTTGTACTGCTGTTGAGCAGGGAATTTTAAATATCTATCAAATAATAATCCAGATATAGAAAGTAATTTCTCGCGATAATGTCACTCTCTTGAAATAAGATGTTAGTTTCAAGAAAGGGTAAATGATGATAATTGATAAAGATGATGATGATGATAACGATCAAGTCAAATGAAGTTCCATGAAAGGGTGTTAAAGATCATGCCAGGCACTGAAAACTACCCCCACCCCCACCAGCCACAGCTTCATCATCCTTGATATCCATGAAGATAGGTTGCCAGGCAATGACCCCCCCCCCCCCCCCGACCACAGCAAGCAGTCCATAAAGATTGTTGGTGTGAATCGTTTAAATGCAAACTCTTTATAGTAGATCAGATGATAACTTTCGCTATTAGAGTGTTCACATAGTTCTACAAAGTGAGTAGGGGCAATAACCCTAGAAGTAATTAACTGAAATTGTTGAACTTCAATTCGTTTCTGCACATATCTTTTATTCTATTCTCATGACTACCCAGCAAGTATTTTATTTGCCATGACTAGTCAACAAGTATTTTATATTACCATGATTAGTCAGCAAGTATTTTATATTATTGTGACTAGTCAACAAGTATTTTATATTACCATGATTAGTCAGCAAGTATTTTATATTACCATGACTACCCAGCAAGTATTTCATATTATCATCAGTAGTGAACAAGTATTTTATATTATCATGATTAGTCAGCAAGTATTTTATATTACCATGACTACCCAGCAAGTATTTCATATTACCTGGAAGGGATTTGATGGTTTAACATTAGTTTTAATTTCTGGTTTTCCTATAAATCCAGCTGTTACTTTAACTTCACCACGGATTTTCTCCACAGTCGCTCGCACCTGAAATAAATGATAATATATCATCTTAATTTAAAAATAATAAAAAATCACCAGTGTTTACTGCTACATGATCAACTCTAATTGTTTGAAACAAAATAGTCGACCCTAAACTTCTTTCTTCCTTCCCGTGCTCTATAAAGAGAGAGAGAGAAATGGGGTTTAACGTCCATTCAATACAAACTAGGTCATTTCGGGACAAACATATGGTTCAATTTTATTTCAAAAGCATTGGGAGGAAACCGGAGGACCTTAAGAAAACGCACGAAGTTGGACAGGCAATCCTACTCCTTGTCACGCACAACTGGGAAATCGAAACCACGCCAGTTGACGCAATGACAGACCTTATGATACAGCACACACATGCGCTAACCATTCGACAATCCCCCAACCCCTCCCGGCCGGGGCTATATAACTTAGTCTTGCTGTTATTATCTCCAAACAATTTCCAAGATCGAAATTTGGGTATTATTTTTAAGAACCTTAGATAATGGAAATCCAACAAAAAGATTTTCCCATAGATCAATCTTATTTTTATTACACACCCAAGGCAAATATGACAAAGTTCACTGATAAGAAAGTAAAGGGTGGGTTGTTGATTTGTGAGAGTGCTAAAGATTTTTATTTATTTACACAATAAGGCCTTCAAAGTCAATATTTTGCATTCATATCTCATGAAAGAATAGGATGCGGAGGAGAGGGGGATGGCAACCCTCCCTTAAAAGATACAGGGAAGGGGGATCAGCAACAATCCCTTGAAAGATACAGATAAGGGGAATGGCAACCCTCCTTTGAAAGAGTAACAAAGGCTGAACAAGCCAATATAACGTTTGACAGAGTTAATATTCTGCATCCAAATTTACCTGTAAAAGAAATGAAACAAAATGGGCTTTGATGTTCTACTTTTCTACACCAACTGGGCTAATCAAGATGGGTGGAGGGAAGGGGGTGGGGAGGTGGATGGCCGATTGGTTTGTGCATGCGTGTTGTATCATTGAGTCAACTGGCGTGGTTTCAATTCCTTTAAATCTAGGGGAACCAGTTAGGCTAAGTGGGTAAGACGCTGGCCCGCTAGCCTGGAGGGCGCATGTTCGATCCCTGCATTGGCCGAGAAAGTTCATCTGGATTTTCCGGCGTGGTTTCCCCTTGTTAGTGGTGCAGAACGGAGGGCTTGACAAGGACAAAAATCCAAGGACCCGTGTATACATTGGCATGCATGTAAAAGATCCCTTGGCAGTTTGAATGAATATAAGAGTAGGCCATAGTGCTGCTACCTGGGCAAAATTTCCCTCATAGCACACTGTATGGCGTATACTTGTCTTCTTTAGCCCAGTAGGAGCAGAACAGTAGGACGTTAAACCCCATTTCATTTTATTTTTCATTTCCTTTAAATCTAACAATGTCCATTTAACCTTTCAATGATAGAAAAAAAATAGTTCGAGAAATTGATCCTGTTATTGCGCATCTATAATGATAAAAAGCTGAACACATGCCAAAACTTGCAATTCATTTTCATAGCCCTGGTTTTTAAATTCGAAATTCTTCTAAATCTTGCCATTAGAATCAATTCTATTAAAGAAATCAATGATATCAACATGAATGTGATGTCGGCCTATAAATCAGTGGGTCTGCCAACCCATTAAATAAATACGCAGTTAGAACGTGACATATATCAGATACTCAGCCTGCATAAACCTGAAAACTCATTTCATATAATGCAAATAAAAAATCTGAATGAATTAAAATAGGAAAGTTTTTATTCCAGGGGATAATTGTGTTCATGACTTATAGCCATAACTTTCATTAAGTTTCAGGACAACAGAGAAACAGGCTATTCTTGCTCCTCAAATTGAACAAATTCACTGGTAATGGGCAATCTGGTTAAAACACAGATCCTATTTCATTTCGTTTTTATAGTTCAAAATTTCGTTTTACTTGTCTTTACTACACTAGGATCTGGAAGAGTTATCATTGACGTGTTCTGAATGGTGTGAGGAATTAGCCAATGACACGGTCTGTCACGGCGAGTTTTAGTCGTGTTTTGCAGGGAACAGTGGGTAATCCACTAATAACATCAATGCTGATTGGTTAATAAAGCCGCTCGTATGACCTCTGACGCGACCTATCGCTACAACCGTTCAGATCTTCATGTAGTGTAGGCCATCGAAAGTATAAAAAAATGAAACGAAATATAGATCTGTATTTTAATCAGATTGTGTTAATGGATAATATTTTTTTCTTCCTTCACATAAATTAAAAGGAAATAGCCTGTATAGGATGGATAAAGAAAACAAAGGTTACCAGGCAACATAGCATATGATATTCCATAGCAACTACGTCATACGAGTGATAGTCCATAAAGGCTGTCGCATTGTTATTCTTTTGGAAAACAAAAATATTCCCCAGAGTGAGCAAGGCAATAACTCTAACAGTAATTTACAGAAATGATTGAAATCTAACAGGCCTCTTTGCTGAACTAATGTGAACAATGCATATAAATTTTAAGTTTTTGTTGCTAGAGAGTTCACAAGATTGTACAAAGTATGCAAGGACAATAACTCTTGAAATCAATGAGAATCAATAGGATTCATTATTTCAATAATATAATGGAGTGGTTTCGAATCCCTGATGGGGTCGTCTGTCCAACCTTGTGGGTTTTCTCCGGGTCCTCTGGTTTCCTCCCACTGCTAAAGACTCTTACGCGCAAGCGAATTATGAACCATATGTTAGTCTCGAAATGACCTAGTTTGTTTCGAGTGGAGTTAAATCTCTCTCTCTCTCTCTCTTCTCTCCTCTCTTCCCCTCTCCTCTCCTGTCTTCCCCTCTCTTCTCTCACTCTCTCTTCTCTCGCTCTCTCTCTCTCTCTCTAGTGTGCAAGCAACAGACAAAGTGAGAAGATCAAGCAATTAATTTTGTTTGTAAATCATAATGTTTCCCAATCAGAAATAGGAATAGTTGTTTCTGAGTAAACAAAACTTCAAATTGGTCTGACCTTATTCTAATCGAGATGGAGGCCAAATGGTGTAAGGCGTGCACTTTGGATCATAAGGTCTGTCATTGAGTCAAATGGCATGGTAATGATAACCCTCTAAGACTCTGGTATGTGAGAGTTAGAGAGAGAGAGAAATGGGGTTTAACGTCCACTCGACACAAACAAGGTCATTTTGGGACTAACACATGGTTCAATTTTATTTTCATAATTTGCTTGCACGTAGGGGTCTTTAGCAATGGGAGGAAACTGGAGGACCCGGAGAAAACCAACAAATTTGGACAGGCTATGTGACAAGGAATAGGGTGGCCTGTTGAACTTCGTAGGTTTTCTCTGAGTCCTGCAGTTTCCTCCCAGTGTTAAAGATTGTTATGAGTTAAACAAGATTTTTCTCTTTCTCTCTTTCCTTATTCTAATATCCACTTAGATCTAAGTTAGTCCCGAAATAACCTAGTTTGTGTCAAGTGGACATTACCGCCCCCGTTCTCCACTTAGATCTCAGATTATCATATATATTACAATATAGTTATACTGACCTTGCCCTTGAGGCGTAATATTTTGGCGGTACAGTTCGTTAGTTTAACGCCTTCATTCGTCGTTTGAGAGGCAAATACAACAAACGCCATGTCACGTGACTCCACATGTCCTTGGATTGTCTGAAAGTAGAAATAAGATTAAATCATTAATAAAACCCAAAAGAATAACGGGGTGGGGGGCACAAGGTCTGTCTTTCGAATCCCACACTTGTACAGATCACCTTTCTCTGAGTTGTCAGGTTTCCTCCCATAAATAAAGTGTATTGTGTGTTAGTCCTGATTTGTATCGAGGGGACGTTAAACACCCACGTTTGAGTTAATGCGAATTTGTTTTGAGTACCCCTTACAACTAGCTGACATTGTTGTGCAGGTGAAGGAGGAACACTTTACAGGTGTAAATTGATGAAGAATTGATGTAATTCCGTCATACGTTTACTTGTCTGCATGAACCCAGTTTACTTTCATCTTGTCTATCGACAGACAACGAACTGACATATAGGTGTGGAAAGGAACTCATGACAGATCCAATTTCAGTAAGAATTGATATAAGCACGGGACTGTACATCTCAGTGGATGCTTACAGTTAGCCCCGGAATCCATTCACTTGAGCTAATATATGTGTTTGTTGTTTGTGGGTCTGTGTATATTGTGTCCGTGGGTTTCTCCCGTGTAATTGTGTGTGGTGCGGTCACCCTGCACTTGCTATAGTATATAATTTGTTGTGCGTTTGTTGTTTGTGTAAGTGAATATTGTGTCCATGGGTTTGTCTTGTGTAATTATTTGTGTGTGGTGCTATATAGTGCAGAAAAGTAGGACATTGAACTCCAAATTAACCAATTCTATAACTAACAGTAAACATCTCTTCGAGTCGACTAGGGTTATTTTTATTACCGATACGCTGAAAAAAAATGTTGTTCACAAAAATAATTACAAGGGAAATTATCAACCAACTTTAATTAGAATTCACTGGTATTTGAAGTGTGTTAATGAGTGTTTTGTTAATTACCTGGGTCGTTACAGGTAATTAATAATGTAAAACAGAGACCAGGTATAATCAAGATGACTACTCACTTGCTGGTCTATAATTTATGGGTCAATAAGTTCTTTGTGATTATTTATCAACCTAACCCCATGGCTGTACACTCTTTTACATGAGAAAAGTGGGAATTGCACATCATGTCAGGACTCGACCCACATCAAAATTCAATCTGATTAAAATACAGATGTATATTTTGTTTTGTTTTTTTATACTTTCGATGGCCTACACAACATGAAGATCTGATCGGTTGTAGTGGGAGGTCATGTCAGAGGTCGTATGAGCGGTTTTTGACCCTATGACATCAAACATAGATTAATCAGTGTTGACGTTTCTAGGGGTTTACCCACAGTTCCATGCACAACATGCCAAGAACTTGCCGTCACAGACCGTTTCATTGGCTAATCTTTCACTTCAACCAAACCACTGGTAATATAACAACTCTTCCAGATCCTAGTGTAGTCAAGACAAGCAAAATGAAATTTTGAACTATAAAAAACGAAACGAAATAGGATCTGTGTTTTAATCAGATAGCCAGGTAACCTTAGCAACTTTATCCTTTTATCAGATTCACAGGAAATTTTTGATAGAATATGACAAATGTTTGTGTTTCTAATTTTTTAAACCGTTTTTTTTTTTTTTTTCACATACAAAAAGGACATATTTGCAGTATTGAAAGTTTGAATCCTTTGGGACCTACATGAACCCGTAACTACCGTCTTCCTTTAACACTATTTAATGAAGGACTTGGGAAATAAGACAGGGAACAGCCCTTTAACCAGTGACGTTATGAAGATGAATAAACCAAGTAGTCTGTTTATGTACTGCTGTTGAGCAGGGATTTTGTTACTTAAATGGTTTGAAGCAGACTAGTGAGTAATAGTTCGGGAAGGTTTTGAAAATGACCTACAAACCTCAATGTAAAACAGATCACTTAATTTTTCAGGGGACTGGGGTAGTCGCTATTCATATGTAACAGGTGCGATAGGGTAAAAATCACTGAAACAACTTATTTATGACCCTGATCACCAAATCACTTCAGGAGACTGGAGAAGTCGCTATTCTTATGTAACAGGTGCGATAGGGTCAAAATCACTGAAACAACTTATTTATGACCCTGATCACCAAATCACTTCAGGGGACAGGGGTAGTCGCTATTCATATGTAACAGGTGCTATAAGGTCAAAATCACTGAAACAACTTATTTATGACCCTGATCACCAAATCACTTCAGGGGACTGGGGTAGTCGCTATTCATATGTAACAGGTGCTATAAGGTCAAAATCACTGAAACAACTTATTTATGACCCTGATCACCAAATCACTTCAGGGGACTGGGGTAGTCAATATTCACATGTAACAGGTGCTATAAGGTCAACTTATTTATGACACTGATCATCAAATCACTTCAGGACTTATCTAGGGTATACATTTATTGCTATAATTCTATTAGGTGCTGGGGCTTTAATAGTGGGAGGAATGACATCAGGTTATGCATTAAACTATAATACATATTTATGGAAGAGCAATTACTGATTTATTTAGGCAACATTTCAACTCAAGGAGTATTCTCTCATCGTTTTCAAGCCAGTGATCATTCTCATTGTTACTTCTAAGCTGGGATCATAGAACGTATGACTTGCTTAAATAACAGAAATGAAATGAAATGGGGTTTAACGTCCTACTGTTCTGCTCCTATACTGGGCTAATGAAGAACCCTTGACAGTTGGAATTCGATATAAGAGTAGGCGATAGTGCTGCTGCCCAGGCAAAATTTCCCTCATAGCACACTGAATGCCGTTTTCATTAGCCCAGTCGGACATTTAACCCCATTTCATTTTATCGCAACAATATATCGCCCTCGACAACATTAGAATTGAAAATTAAATAATTTTTTTTCAAAGAGAAAAAATCTTTCAACTTACAAATTTGTCATCTTGACCAATCTGTGAGGATATGTCTGAAAATTTGGGAGGTAAACTTCCAGATTCTAATTTTTCAAACTTTATTTGTACTGGTCCCTGTAAATATAGAAAAATGAGATTAGTTTTAAACAATACAGAGGGATTGCATGGCAACAATATAGACAGCAGTTAAGTCATCAGAGCAGCTCATGGTGTTGTTTTAATGTCAATCTTTAGGAGGGAGAGAGAAAGGGGGGGAGAGGGATGGCTACAACACACGTCATCTGAATAGTTCATAAGAGAGATAGAGAGAGAGAGAGAGAGAGAGATATGGAGTTTAACGTCCACTCGACACAAACTAGGTCTTTTCGGGACTAACATATGGTTTAATTTTATTTACATAATTCGCTTGCGCGTAGGGGTCTTTCCCAGTGGGAGGAAACCGGAGGAAACCCACGAAGATGGACAGGCGACCCTACTCCTAGTCACGTACAACCGGGGATTCAAAACCACACCAGTCGACTCAATGATAGACTTTATGATAGAGCGCGCGCATGCTAACCATTCAGCCATCCACCCCCCCCCCTCCCAGATTAACACACTGACAAAGATTCTATGACATCATCAAGGACAATAGCTCTAAAAGTAACATTGAAATTGCTCATCATCGTCATAATTAAAACAAAGCATAAATCTAAATTGGATTATGGTGATATTCGATAGAGTGTTCACAAGTTTCTACAAAGTAAGCAAGAGCAGTAACTCTAGAAATGGATGACATTCATTTCTACAACTGGCAATCAGATGATAACTTCTGACAAGATTCCAGAAAGACGGAAGTAATTAACAAAATTGTTGATCTTGGAGTTTAAATATAGATGGGTACCCACCCTGCAAAATAAAAGTTACATTCAATTCCTGTCTTGTTCCTGTTAGTGGTATCTAAATTATTGAAAGTTTTATTGGCTTTGTGTTATTGCGATTTGACAAATTTAAAACCAATTTAAAACAAGACATAAAACAGTCTTGGCTTTAAAACATCACTCACTTTTCAACAATACGTCTACGAGATCAAGCCAAATAATTCTCATCGACATAACCTTTAAACAGACTTTGAATAAAAGCAATAAATTAGCCCCAAAAAACAATTTCTTGCTGTGTTAATTTGACGTCTGCTAGCCATGTGTTGAATGAGGTTATTACCTCCCTTTGTAATAAACTCACGTGAAGTTAAAGTGACACTGTCGTAAATACCATCCAATAACGGAAACTGTTTTTTTTCTAATTGTATCAGATTCTGATAATGAGACATAGTAAGCATAGCTTGCCCTGTGCATCTCACCTGTCACTACCTATAGAGGAGTCATAAAGTTATTTGAAAATCTATATTTATCGTTTTGAACCATGTTTGTAAGGCTACGTTATATTTTTATTGTTTAGATATATTCAGCCAATCAGATTAAAATACAGATCTATATTTCGTTTTGTTTTTCTATACTTTCGATGGCCTACACTACAAGAAGATCTGACCAGCTGTACTGGAAGGATACGTCAGAGGTCGAACAAGCGTTTTTTTACCCTATGACGTCAGACATTGATTAATCAATCAGCATTGATGTTTCTTGTGGTTTACCCACAGTTCCATGCACGGCACGCCAAGACCTCGCCATAACAGATGGTTCCATTAGCTAATCCTTCATGACAACCAGAACACCCGTTATATAACAACTCTTCCAGATCCTAGTGTAGTGCAGACAAATAAATCAAAATTTTGAACTTTAAAAAAGGAAACGAAATATGATCTGTGTTTTAATCAGAATGTATAATTAATCCATTAAACTACCCACAACTATATAATTTACAGTAATGAAATAAATGGGAGAGTCTTGTTCACAATAGATTCCCGAGTTGTACGTGACAAGGAGTAGGGTCGCCTGTCCAACCTCGTGGGTTTTCTCCGGGTCCTCCAGTTTCCTCCCAATGCTAAAGACCCCTACACGCAAGCGAATTATTAAAATAAAATTGAATCATATGTTAGTCCCAAAATGACCTAGTTTGTGTCTTGTTCACATTAAGGGCACCCTATCATTTTCTCCAGCAGTCTTCTTGTTATTATTAGCAATTTATGTGGCATAATGGGAGGATTCTAGTGATGACACACCAAATGGCATTGACCATTGATTGCCTGCCATCGTTGTATCACTTTAATACTAGTAATAAACACAAGACCATAATACAAGCGAAATTCAGACATGCAACCCTACTCTTAGAGGCCAATCAGTTTGGTTCCCTCCCTTTAATACTAGTAATTAATCTGAGATCGTAAGAACAAGTGAAGTCACCATGTTATAATTATCAGAATTACTGTACAAAACCAGACACATAGTTTATTATCAATATCCCAGAATTTGTTGAGTCATAAACTAGGATGGAAAGCAATCAAAATGTTTTGTTTATATCAAACAGTAATCATTCTCTTCCCATCTTGATATTAAACTATACCAAGATTCCATACATTCCTGGTGTGAGAGAGAGAGAGAGTGAGAGAGAGACCGAGGAGAGTTTGATTCCCTACATTCCTAGTGGGAGAGGTAGAGGATGGGTTTAAGTCCCCTGGACACAAACTAGGTATTACATTTTGTAATTTTGTCCAGTATGGAATTATCTATATATTCTGTGTTTCTGTTGATATTTTCAATTCATGTTCAACACAAAGCTAAGATAGAGAGAGAAACTTGACACAAACTAGGTTATTTCAGGACTAATATATGGTTCAATTTTATGTCAAGTACAGATTATCACACAATGCATATATTGTGGCTGCCACATACATAACACCTGCTAAATTTACCGAAATTTGAAAAAAAATACCAAAATTTGAAAAAAAATACCGAAATTTGAAAAAAATACCGAAATTTGAAAATCTACAGAAATTTGAAAAGTTACAGAAATTTAAAAATTTACAGAAAATTTGGTTTCATGCATGGTTATTGAAAATGTAACAGTGTAAGTGTAATAGATCTACTAAATAGAATATAAAAGTATAAGTATGCATTAATGAATAAATCTAATATACTTGTGTAATATAATATTTATTCCATATAATGATGTGTGAATATATACTGATTGATGCAGTGAATAAACAACAGACACAATAATAAACTGATCATTATATTTGTACACACGTAAATAACAGCGTAATAATGGAAGAGATCCGAGTATTATTCCCTTACTGGTTGGTAAATATACCTACTGAAGTAGATAATAGCACAATGATGTTTGCTTAGCAAGCATTGCCAACATATGGTGGAAGAATGTGGTAGCATTTTTTAGTCCAAAGGGTGTGAAGATATTTATAGTGGTATCTCTTGTATTTATATACTACCCTAAAACTTATATCGACACATGGTACCTATCTGAAAGGCAATGATACTAATACAGTTCCCGGTAGTACTTCAGTATATACAAGTAAACATGATCAAAATTAGATACAAATAGAAGTTGGGAAAGGTGGTAATTAAAAAATCTTAAAGCTAGTTCTGATCCTAATAATACTACCAAATGCATATTAAAGATGCATTATTCAAGATATCTTTCTATTGCAGGTCTTTGTTTTAGCTTCGGATGTTATATCTTTTATTTTTAAACTTTTATTGCCATCAGATGTTTGAGATTTTCAACAGATTTAAATATGATTGGCAGTTAATGATTTAATTCAGAAATAGATAATAAAGACTTTGTTTATTATCGTAACAATGGTAGCAATGACAATCGAGACTACAGAGCAATAACTCCGCTCAAAATGAAATAATTTGACAAAAATTTTCAACATATTCCCTTTTCATTATCTATTTTTAACTATTGTAGCTCTTTATCTAAATCTTACATACTGCATCTTCAATGTATACTGGCAGCATGCAGTATTAAAGCCTCGTCATTGGCACAAGTTTTGGCAATCCTGTACATAAAATCAGAACAAAAAAATAAATCCAAAACACTTTTCTGTAATTTCTTCATTTACAGTTATGTTTTCTTGTAAATTTTTGTCATAATGAAAATTTGCTATGGAAAAACGTGGAACCAGAGACCCTGTTTCAACTTATCCACAGACAACCGTCTGATCAGGTGCCCAACATGTGGTATGAAGAATGTGGTTGTAGTGTATTTGATGGAGAAGTTTGACAACTGAATGTTTATTCATTTACAGCCTGATGTGAATTAAAGCTATTTAAAACATTTATACCATACAGATCGGTGAAGGGTAAACACAGATTGGTCAGTGAAAGAAGGATATACATGTAGTAGACTAAATCAATATCAAAGTAGGATTCGATATTGACCATAATTACAGTCTGATGTAAATTAAATCTAATTGCATTGATGAAGTGTAAATACAGACTGGTCAGTGGGAGAAGGATATACATGTAGTAGACTAAATCAACAACAAGAGTAGGAATAGATATTGACTCAAATGATTGCTGGTCACTTGACTGTATCTCTCTCCTATAAGAATACAGTACAATGTTAATTCTCGTCTCTTTTGACAGACTCTAAATTTTCCCAAAATTTCTACCACATATTTGGCAACTTCTTGCCCAGAATAGCTATATACAGTAAATGAGTTCCGTTAAATCTCATTTCATTTTTAATTATCATTGCCATGTTCAAAAGTTCAGTACGCATCAGCTTTTACTATCAAGTACTATATCATTTACTATCAGTTATTTACTATATTTCCATCTGACCAATCAGGGAAAGGGCATCTGTTGTACTGGGGGTCAATATACTACTGATATAATATATATAGAGTATACCAGTTATAGATGGTGGAGATGGTGCCAACTATATCAATATATCTCTTCTATTTATATACATTTGTAACTAGGTTTTTAGTTACCGGTACTCGTGTCGATAGATCATGATTCTCGATAGCGATGCCAGGCCGGTGTGAGTTTTGAAGTAATATACACCAACTTACACCAGTACTCTGTAACCAACCATGCTATGTGGATTAATGACATTCCTAGTCTCGATAACCCAGCCTTTTCCCCTTGTCGGAGTGTTCCCATATAGGTGTTGCCAAGGAAGCTTCAGCAAACCATTCAGCTACTCAAAAC